GTCTACTCTTTTTGTTTATGTTTTTCTTTTTAGACCATTTTTGACAGGGAGCAGAATAAGCAGGTTTTGTAATTAGAGAATGAATGATCCGCTCCAGAACCGATTCACTTTACTGAGCGAAAGCGTCAGTTCTTTAAAAGTTCACCGAAAGCTGTTGTTGGGAAGTGTACCAAATTTTTTTTTCCTCTTAATGAAAACACTAGCATTCTTTGCTTTATTACATACAGGAAACGTCTGTATGTATTATGTCTGTATTTTTATGTGTGTATCTGTGTTACGTATGTATTTTGGCGTACTTCTGGTTTGCTTGTGTTCCAACTAATCTTTAAAAAACAAAACATTAAATAAACCGACGCATCTCAGCAAAACGGAGCACCTCTGTTTGCAAATGGACGGAGTTTTTTTCCTCCTCTGGGAGTGCGAGGATCTATTAAAATTGTAGGAACTAGTTTCTCGGATTCCCAGATGTCAGCGTTCCTGCGCTAGTCGCAGATCTGGATCCTTCTGAATCGTGATTAGTCGCTCTTTCATCGCTCCTGCTCTAGCCGCAGATCTGATGAAGGGCTAGCTCATTTCTTTGTTTCTTTGTTCGACTCCTCGCCGACGCGAGCCTAATGGGGGGACGTAACAGGCAATAATCTGACGTCACTGTGATGCCACCTGTCCTGATTTCCCGCGTTTAAAACAGTAGTTTCATTGAGCTGCGAGACGATTTTCTAGAGTTACATAACCCAATTAATTTTAATAATATATATAACTGTTTTCTAATAATGTATATATTTAAAATAATTTATATATATGTAATTTTAGTCAGTTTTTATTTTAAATTCTATATTGTAAAGTATCGTTTACGTAATATGGCTTTTTACGCTGCAGTAACGTGCCGTAGCACTTACAGAAGTAAGAAAGGATGAGATATTTTATTTCATGGGACCAAAGGATCCAAATGAGAGTTTGCTTTTGACGAAAGAATGGATGCACAAATGTCAAAGAGAAGATTATATTAATGTGAAAAGCGGAAAAATCTGCAGCGAACATTTTCTATGCAGTGTTTATGAAGATGATATGAAAAATCGCTTATTTGGATAGTCAAAAAAAGAAACTGTTGAAATGGAATGCTGTGCCGAAAGTAAATTATGAGGACAATAATAAATCGAAATGATGATGACATAATAAATCAAATTTAATGGTTTTGAAATAAAACTCACAAATGAAAATGTAATCATCCTGAATGTTTAAGGATAAACAAGAACGCATTGATAATTTGAAGAACAAAATAATATCCTTAGAATTGTATTAAATTGTATTAAAAGTATTGAAAAATAGAGAAAAGAAAATTTTTAGAATGTTTGTTCAGCGACAAAGAGGTGGACGACATCTAGACAGAAATTGGTATCAGAAATTAAAATCCAATAGGAAATTTGGGGAGGGGAAGCACAAATCGGAGAATTGGAAAATGTCTAAAGCCTATTTTTATAAAAGACGTAGATTAATGCATTACTGAAAAAGAAGAAAAAATCAGGTGGACTAGTGAAAATATCTCACGTTGCATGTCATAAGACTCTGTCATCTAAAGCTATGATTTTGGAAAGAAAAAAAATTGGAATATCTTTACCTATATATCAAATTAAGAATGGTGTTTATTTTATTTTTTAGTGTTTTCTAATTTTAGTGTAGTCCAAGAATTCAAAGTAATGTTCTTACTCTGAAGAAGGAAAGAGGCGAATATTTTGTATTTGTGAAAAATATTCGTTCTCAGTTCGACGAAAGCGTATAGATTGAAAACTCTGCTATGACTCTAACTGGACTAAGTTGGTTCTTTTCAAAATGTGCAGTTTGTTTTAATCAGAGGTCTCATTTCGCGCTCTGCCTCAAATTACTGAGAACCGCGTTTTAGATAGAGGATTTGTTTTAGATGATGTAACGTTTAAAATTTAATATTATTAAAGATGTTTTAAAATAGAGATTGAAAAGAATCAAATGTGTCCAAACTGAAACCAAATTATTTAATGGTCAAGGGAAACGAGAGACAAAAAGTCGCTCCAGAGAAACATATTTTCAAAAGTACCGCAAAAGGTATACTCTACCCCACAGGAAATCAGAAAACATCTGACTTCTAGAGTTATCGATAATATCTTCGGTATTTTGAATAGTACCAAAATAGTACCAACAAGAATAACAAGTATTTAACAAACTAATTTTGTTAAGTACTTGTTAAAGTTATTCTTATTGTATCCTTTATAACTAATTATTGATTAGATTTTGTGCTAGATTAGCATTCTAGATAAAATATAATAGTATAAAACATTAAAATTGGCATAAAAAGACCTGCTTCCTTTACTCACACTTTTGAAAAATTAAATAACTGTTTTAGGTTCTGAATAAAGCTATTTTGTCAATATTAAGGTAACAATCTTACATACATTTATTTAATTGTAATATAGATATAAGTATAAATTACAAAATATTTTAAAAATATCATTATATTGAATCGGAAGAGAATTATAACAATGTAAAATTTACAATTAGGCAAAAATCAAACGTAAGTTAGCAGAAATGTTGCCATATATGTCATATATATTTAAACCTTTGTCAATGTAAAGTTGTTTTTGAGTAATTAAATCTGCTATTATAGTTATCTAGAAGCAGCATAAAAATTCTCTCATTAGCATGCAAATAAGAAATGATTAGAAATAAACGTGCATTAAATAAAAAAACCTGCAAATAAAAAATAAAATAATAAAAAAAAAAACATGGAACTTTATGTTAAAAGAGTAGCACATTTTATCTGTTATTTTAAAATTGAGTAAGCATTATTAAATTTTTTAATGGTTCAGTCTAAAATGCATAAAGCAGTAACATTGCTTCTTCCAAATTATAGCTATCTTTCATACACAGCTCATTTTAAACGCTGGTTCAAAAACGCTAATTTCCAAGCTGTGAATTATGTATATTGGCGCGCTCAGTGTCATCATGGCTACGTCATCACTTCTCACTTTCTGCTTCAGGGGGAAAAGCTCTATGAGCTAGCCCTTCTCTTCTAAGTCCTGTCTGATTCCTACCGAGTCTTTATTACTCACTCTTTTTATCGCTCTTACTTTAGCCACAAATCTGGCCCCTGCAGAGTCTTGATTATTTGCTCTTCTCGCTTCTTCGGAGCTGTTCCTCTCAGTTTTATTTCGATTCTTTGAATACTGTATCATGGTGTAGCAATGCATATTGGATATTGCCCTTTTTATACAATATTACAATAATATTTATGTAAAATAATAAATTCTATTTTGTTTATTTACTTATTGCACTAAAATCCTGCAAATCAAGAGCTATGAATTTCTCTTTAATCTTCTTTAGAATTAGGATATATTTATAAACATAATTTTTCCATCTGATATATTTTTTCAAGGTTGCAGAACAAAATATAGATCCTACCGAAATGAAGAAACTCTTATCATTTTGTCAAATTAAATAAAAGAGAAGGGAAATGCCGGTATTGTCAGAAGACAATTTCCTGTTCTTTGGTATCTGCCTTCAATTTAAAAATTTATTTTTACAATGTGCTTTGTAGTGGCAAAATATCAGTTATAGTAATAAAATAATGTAGTCTTTAACAAAAGTTAGTTTAGCATTCATTATTTTTTAACTTTTAAAATTTTTTTTGTTCCAGAATTTTATTGTTTTTCTATGTAGAATTTTTTTTTTTTTTTTTTTTTTTTTTATAGAGAATCTCAAAAGTACAGTTAAAAGACATCAGTGGTTTGGTTGAGTTGATTCCAGCGATTCCACTCCTTGTTCAATTCGTTCTGCTTTTTCCCCGTCTTTGCACACCGCTCTTGATCCTTCCCCGAAAAATTCAACAGGGTCATTGTTAATGAGCAGTGGATCGTTAAAAAGTACTGATTAACTTCAGTGAGCGAACGATTCCGATCTGATTCTTAAAGGGAGCGTATTGCCAGTGTATTTGTAGTAGAATGTATGTGTGCGAACAGCTTTTATAGTGGTAAAGCGCGGTGTTGTGCGGTAGATGAAAAGGGTTCTACTGGCTTAAAATCATCATTCCCTGAGCTTACAGTACAGTTTAAAAGACATCAGTGGTTTGGTTGAGTTGATTCCAGCGATTCCACTCCTTGTTCAATTCGTTCTGCTTTTTCCCCGTCTTTGCACACCGCTCTTGATCCTTCCCCGAAAAATTCAACAGGGTCATTGTTAATGAGCAGTGGATCGTTAAAAAGTACTGATTAACTTCAGTGAGCGAACGATTCCGATCTGATCTCTTAAAGGAGCGGTATTGCTCAGGTGTATTTGTAGTAGAATGTATGTGTGCGAACAGCTTTTATAGTGGTAAAGCGCGGTGTTGTGCGGTAGATGAAAAGGGTTCTACTGGCTTAAAATCATCATTCCCTGAGCTAATTTCGAACGGTATATGTCGCTACAGAAGCTCACCTATATACAGTTTGTTCATTTGGTTGCAGCTAGAACGAAGAGCGATTTATGAGTACCTTATTTGTTCTTCTTTGTTCCGTTTTCATATACATATTTCATTGCAAAATCTGCTTATTTCTTTCCCTACTACCTGCCTTTGCACTTTTACCAGGTATTTCCAAATCCTTGTATTATAATAATATACCTTGTTATCCTTGTGTTATACAACCTAACTTTATATTCTACTTATAATATTTATCAAAACTTTCTATACAAACTGCGCTATTTCACATGTAGAATCATATGCAGATGAAATTGTCACTTTATTAGTTTGTCTCCTAATCTGGCAGCTTTCGCATCCAATGAACCATTGAAACAGATTCCTTATTCAAAATTATATATATTTTCTATTCTTACGTTTTGGTAAATATCACGAATTATTGCAGGTTTTCAATTTCGCGCACCTGTTCCTGTCTCTAATTACACAGGCTGCTGGTAGCATATGCTCCATTGCAGAAGCATTTAATTTTTCGTTGATTTAAATTAATATAATTTAAAATCTAAATTTATTTCCCTTTCAGAGACAGCTATGGGTGTACACATTAATGCGCAATTGGGAGGATGCAGCGAATACGTCACTGCCATAAATGAGTAAGTGATATTTCTTAAGGAGAAGAAAGCTTTACTTTCTCTAATTCTCTATTTATTTAATAAATAATAAAAATAATAAATTTAATAAATAAATATTTATTTAATAATAAATAGATTTACAGTACTGCTAATTTCTTTCACCCTGAAAACACTGATATATAAATTTTATAATATGTTTGTACTCTTACTGGTAATTGTGAGCACAGGAAAATATCTCTTTCGAAAACTTCAGGATACAGGCAACTGTATGTAATTAAAGTAAGCGAGAGAAATTTGAAAATCAAGTTAGAAAACATGTGAAATAAGTAACTTTATTTCCTCTTGAAACTGAAAAAAAGCTTTTGCCGACTTGATATACTATATCCCGTTCCTTCAAACATAATGATGATGTTCATGATGATGATGATAATAATAATAATAATTTAATGTCTTCAGACTTTAACGGTCGCTCATATAGGCTTGTTAAGATTTTTTACGCTCTCGCTGAACTTGCAGGCTACCAGCCTGAAAAGTGGGTACACAGTCCTGCTAACCCACTTTTCTTTTTTCAGTCGTTTTTAGCTTTATTATCAAGCATCGTTTTCTTCGAACTTACACCATATGCAGTTCATCAACAAAATCTTGCATAGGAGTATATGTTTCGAATTCCTGGATGCATTGTTAAAGGTTGGCACAAATTTTAATTTTTTTTCAGGCTTTTCTCAGTCCATCGTATCAATATTCAGTTTTCTTAGTTCGATGGCTAGCAAAGTTTGTCTTTTTGCCTTTTTATTATTAACATTTTATGTGTTATCTTCATTCATTAAATATTACATTCTTTGCCCTTACGCCACATAAAATTCGATTCAGCAGCAAAATCCCAAAATATTTAAAAACAGCGTATCTTTAGAATTTCTAAAAGATGGTCTCGCGCGCTGGAGATAAAAATGTTTTATTCTTTGCTGTGTTTCCACAGCTCGCTTTCAAATTCTTGAGTTTGTTAATAAAAAATTCCTTAGAGTTTTACAAAATATGAAGTAAATAATATAACAAATTTAAAGCTCAGAATCAAGCTTCCAGGTGTACATGTTCACGTGGAGGACTACGTTGCTCAAATTTCGAAATGTCCATCTTTATATAATGTACACTCGCATGAATGATGTAATGGCTCATGACAAACTAGCAAATATTATTTAACGGCGACCAGTAATTTTGAGGCATCATTTGTTTGACTACGTTTCCTTATAATAAGGAACGCAACTAATCAGCTTTGATAAAAGCTAGATTCTAAAACCCCAAAAAGTAGAAAGCAGAGTCTCTAATAAGGTTGCTCATTGTGTGTTCTCGAGCTGCAGTTGTTAGTATTAATGTAAGAATAGAGAACCAGTTTAGAAAATCAATACAATTGGTATTGATGCCAGGGAGTTCGATGCAAACGCGCGATCAATGAATACTAGTGTAAAAAACTATTTATTACGTTTGCTGAAGAGATATGGATGGGTATACATGGCTCAACTGACAACCGAATGCAATTCGAGTCCACGCACAAGTGCATCCGAAGAAATAATCTCATACTTTCGACATTCTAAAGTGCACTTAATGTATGATCTATTAAAGTTCTTGTAGGCCAAAGAGTTGCAACATTATACAGATATTTTCGAGAGATTTTCGCTGTCTGTTAAGATTATTATCTTGTTGTGAAGTGGCTCAAATCAATAATTAGGGTTAGACCAGATTAAAGACGACGTTAACGTATTGTCGAAATTTTAAAATATAATGAAAAATGCTCAAAACTGAGCTAGCTTCCCAAATAGGAACTCCAAAGTGTGATGGGCAAGTGTAGCTTCACAATGAAGGGAAATGTGCAGCGTTGGCCTAGGTCTCTTCCACGTATGAAATTTCTACTCATCTAATCTATTTGTAAACTGTGTTGCATAGATGAAGACATTCAACGCCAGTCTGGTTCATTTCAAGCTTCGCGGCCTAAAAGCTAAACTAAACGTTGCTGTTGTAGCATAGGAGTTCGTTCTTACAGACGTCGCAGTGGTGGCCAACAAAGAATTGCGATCTCTCCCAATCTTTTTGCAAGGCACTTTGTGATGTCCAGTCGATGTGGATAAGTGATTCTGTGAAATTGGCTATATACTAAGGCAGCTCTTGTTATTTATCAAACTTTTTGAAGCACTGCTATATTTGCGAAGGTAATGAATTCTCTGTACGACTATTTCTTCGATTGCTTCAGCTTTCGTAGACAACCAGTAAGCTTTATTTGAAGGAGCATTTCGAATTTACTTTTCAGCGGCCGAACTGTATACTATTACGTGTGAGTTCGTAACAGATTGAGTGCCCGCAGAACAGATGATAGTTTGATGATTTCTTTTTTTTTCCAGAACACTTCAGAGTTCTGGAACTCTTTATATAAAAGTACTCATACAGCTCTGTCGTACTGAAAAGTACAACAGAGGAACAGATATATTGGACTTATACATCTTTGAACAGATACTTATACAGAAAGTCTCAAATGAGTCAGCTCGCATAGAGATCTCTCAATACTGTGAGCTAAATTCTAAACTAAACGGAAAACTGATACTCTGTCCCAACTTGTATAGTTTTCTCTCATCCGCAGAGTAATTTCCAGTACCTTCGAATTCTTGAAATTATTGAAAGGTATACAAAGTTACAGTTACACAAGGCTGGATACAGTTGCAGTTACATAGGGATCAGACCAATTACAGCTACACAAGAAGCGGGCTAAAATAGGGCCAAATGATCGCCAACTTTTATGACTTTCGTCGATTTCTCGCCAAATTGGTGAAATAGCTATTTGCCTCATTGTTAAATGGACTTAGCCCAGTAACCCTGTTTTCCCGGCAATGCTTCGCACTTTGAAGCCTTTCGTATTATATAATACGAAGAGTACTACAATTTACAAATAATTCAATTTACATGTATACAAAATTCGTAACAGTACATTGTGTTCTGATATATGTGGTTTTCGCGCGCTGTAGACTCACACTGTTGCATTCGTTAGTTTTTTTCAGCAATTTTTCTGATTTATATGTACGATCAAGATATATTAACACGCTTTATATTAGGTTTTGAGATCATCAGACTATTTTTGAAGGTGCGCGATTTTTTTTATTCAGAGTGTATTACATATTTTTGGACAGGGAAGATACTATACATTTCTTATCCTGTATGCACATACGTGCAAGCGTAGCTTTCAAATGAGAGAATAGATTGTGCATGTCGCACTGCGGTAGAAATGAATGTGCTAACTGCTATACAGAAGTTCCTGATGAGCAATAGAAAGTAGCAATAGAAAGATAATAAGACACTCTGTAATACATATTTGTTTGAAGAACGAATGTTAAGCTTGTAAGTCATTTTATGTACTGATATTTTTGTTCATTATTTCAATTAAAAATTTTAAAGTATTCCTATTTTTACAGTCTGTTGGTGTTGCATATTTTGAGTGGCAAACAATAAATTATTGCAAAAACTAATAAAAAGTATAAACAAGGTATTAAAAAGGGAGGATGAAATACCCAAAACCATTTTTGAATCTCTTAAACTCGATTTTGCAATTGGGGAAAACAATATTCGTTTGAATTTCTGTGTATAACTAGGAAATACAATTGATAAAAACATCAACTGGGAGAGTACAAAATTGTTGCGTATGTACGGGTTCCTAACAGATTGAATGCACACAGGTCCGATGATAGGCTAATAAAATTTATTTTTATCAAATGAAACACTTAAAAGTTCTATAATTTTCCACAGAACTACTCGCACAGATGTTCACAGTATCGAAGAGTACAATCAGTAGTTACACTTCAAACTCTTAAGGACGTTAAACACAGCGAAATGCAAAGTCCATCTAAAGAGAAAGCTAACCTGGAACTATCTCCGATCTCATGCTGAACTAATAACTTGCAACAATAACAAAAACCACAAATGCTCTCTTCGGCCTTATATAGTTTTCAACTGGCCGCAGAGATATTTCTAGTACTTTCTGCTTCTCGAAATTACTGGAAAGCAATATGAGGGTCGAATTACAGTTGCAGCTAATATAGTGATTTCAATTACAATATGGTGATACAGAGACCGCACTAAAATATCGCCAAATGGTCTCCAAATTTAGCAACTTTTGACGATTTCTCCGCAAATTCTGTGACAAAATAAGTCGCCATAACTGTTGCCACCTTGGCGATATCTCGATAAATTACCAAGGTACCCATTTACTCAATGTTAAATGAACTTGCCTCTGTATTCTTACTTTTCCGGCATATCTTATCTGTTTTAGATTTTTATTATGTTACATTACACAGAAAATAAAACAATTTCACATACAATTGCACTAAAATCATCCTACAAAATTCGTAATAATGTTGTTCCCTTTATACAAATAAATTGCAAATTTCTTTAAAGACTGTTAAGGAAATAATTAAGGAACGTTTTACATATAATTATGTTTATCATATCATGCTTTTGGTTGCTTTTAAAATTTAGATTTATTAGTTTATATTTACATTTAATGGTTATATATTCTTTGAAAATTTGAAATAGTTAAATGAAATTATGCTATGCAAAATTTTAACACTGAATTCAATAATAATTTTAAAACATTTAATAATATGCTTTAAAATATAGATAATTTAAATTTAATAATACACTTTAAAATAGTTCTTGGCTCATTTTAAAATATATGTGTGAGGTTTAAATTCAGGGTAATTACTTTTTATTCTATTTAATATTATAAAACTTATTCAGAATTTTTTAATGCTTCAGTGTCTGATATTGAAAATGAGAATTTGCAAATCTATTGTAATGAATGATTACAGCAAAGCACCTTTTATACTTTTATACGTCTTTCATAAAGGATGTATAAATAAGAGAGAATAAATGAAATGCTAGTCTAAAATGCGATGCTTATATTTTAATTATTGGATTACAATGCTCAGAACCGGCTTAAGATCCTTTAGAGGCCCTAAATACTCAAAGGTTTTTGGTATCTTTACACATGTTTACACCAGATTTTCTTCATTACGTACCTCTCTCGGTTTTGGTTTAGCTATACCACGTTTCCCACAGGGAAACTGGTTATTGGAATTTTTTTCGTGCCCTAAGCATGTGCTTATATTGTCAATCCTAATAATGTTATTCTTATATTACTATCTTACTTCTGCTATTATATAAAATTGTCATGCCTTAAACAGGTACCTAAATTTAAAATAATGTTAAAGCGTTTCAGTTTCAAATCACATGAATTCTAATTGTATCATATAAAACGTTTAGAACTGTGAACGATCATACCATTTTTCATATAGGTCATCTTGTCTTCTTTTTCATAAACGATTTTAATATACTATATGAAAAGACTAACTTTTCTTTTGAAGAAAAACATGCCACACGTAATCTCAGGCTCTTTTCGTAAAGTGAGCCGTAAGCAAAGCACAATGAATGAAGTTATTGATATTTTTTCTCATTGGTGTCATGACTAACAAAGACATTTCTAAAAAAAATATGTAGTGTATGATGTACCGCTTTTAGTCAGTCATTTATTTCTTAGATGCCGCTACTAAAATAGTATTTTTAAATATGAAAATAAATACAAATAATTAATAATATATAAATGACAATAGTTCCATTAATAAATTTAACAACCTATTCACTTTTTAATTCCATTAAATTAAAATTTCATAGACTTATAATTCACTAATAATAGCTTCATAAAATAACATTATTCAATAGGTATTATATTCAAAAGCGCGATAAAATGACAGCAAATGAAAATGATTAAAACAACCAGGTTTAGTTGCGCCATTAAACAAAAAAAAATGTTGTTGTGGCTTGTCTCACTTGTCTGATAGCAAAATCAAAACAAGCCCACGAAATTCGTCGTGATAACGAGTGCAAGATTGCGCGTGTCTTTGGCGATACGGGTTTTCTCAGTTTTCCCTCAGTTTTGATGAAGAGAAACCCAGGGAGACGGGTGCGAGGATCTCCCACACCCATCTTCCTCCACCACTAACCTTCTTTCGACCTAACTTTCGTCTCGCCACATACTATTTAGAGTGCTCTCTTGCCGCACGAACACTCTACATTTACAAACATCCATACTTTCTCCGGGACTCGAACCCGGACCCTATGGTACGATAGTTAGAGTTGCTAACAATTATTCAGCTTCGGCGGCTCAAAAAATAAATAACTTTAAAGACGTAGATCGCATACTTTATTACCGAAATTTCTGTATACTCTGTTCTGTATTTTAATTCAATTCATTGGATTTCTTTAAGAAAAATGTAAGCTTAATTATTTATTTTATATTTAATTCCTCACTATTTTAATTTATGTCTTAAAATCCATCTTTAATCATTTCTTCGAAATACTCTAACGGGAAAATTTTAACACTTTTGAAATATTTGGCTTTCGGCGATTTTATAAAGAAATATATCTTTTTTTTTTTTTTTTTTTGTTTGTTTCATAAATACACTCATGTCCATAAATTAAGGATAATGCAAAATCAGGCAAAGGAAGAGTTAGAAGCAAAACAAATTTGACTTATTTGTAAAGCTTATTTATTAAACAAAAGGTAAAGAGCAAAAAAAGATGCTATATGTTTGATATTATTAAAAAATTAGCTATTTTTTCTCTCTGGAGCAAATTACAAAAAAAAAACCTATTTACAAAAAACCAATATTACATGATTGGTATGGTTGGTAGTACATTGTATGTCTCCCAGACGATGCAATACAGTCCGTACAACGCCTAGGCATGCTGAGTATCAAATTATCGATCTGATCTTGGGGGATATTACACCACTCAAAAAGCAATGCTCTCCGAAGTTCCGGTAGACATGTAGGAGGAGGTGACGGGCTGTAACTCGTCGGCCAAGCATGTCCCACACGTGATCTACTGGATTCAAGTCCGGTGAGAATGCTGGCCAGTCCATACGGGTGATATCCTCCGATTGAAGGCATTCGCTTACGATGTTTGCACGGTGAGGACGGGCGTTGTCATCCATAAACGCAAATTGTGCGCCCATGGCGCTCCGAAACAAACGTACATGTTGTTCCAGAATGACGTTCCGATAGATTTGGCTTGTCATGGTTCCAATTTGAACATGCAGGTCAGTTCTGGAACCCAGAATAATTCCACCCCAAACGAGCACTCCTGCACCACCGTAACGGTGTCATTCAATTATGTTTTCTTGGTGGTAACGGGTACCTGGAGCTCTCCATATGAAAGTCCGGCGAGAATCAGACTGCAAGCTAAAACTGGACTCGTCGGAAAACATCACACAAGCCAACTGTTGCGGTGTCCACAATGCATGCTCTCTACTCCACGCTAACCACAGGCGACAGTGAGTTGCAGTAAGTGGAACGCATCTAACAGGTCTACGAGCATATAGACCAATCTGCCCTGAGCGTCTGTACACGGTCTGCCTTGAAAGTGTCGTACCAGTGGCTGAAGAGAGCTGGCGAGACAGGTCTGAGGCTGTGCTCCGCCTGTTCTTTTCGGCAGTAATTGCCAAATACCGCTTCTCATTCGGCGTTGTAACTCTGGGGCGACCTGTGCTGTAACGTCTACTCACATTACCATCATCTTGGAATCGTCGCCAAAACCTGGAGATGACACTCTGGGCAATTCCAAGTTCGTCTGATACTTCCAGTTGGGTACGCCCACATTCCAGACGGCCGATAATTCTATCACGTAAAAAATCATCCAAATGCGTCCTTTGTATCATAACTATTCGATTATTGCACTGAAATGCTTATAAAGCGCCTGCGAACAGTTTACTTCTTTTCCTGTATTACTTATATATCACTCTCTTACACACTCGTCATTGTGACGTACCATCGGTGTCATCTGGTTACTTCCCGAAATTTGCATATGATTCTTGAAGATGTGTGTAGTGATTTTACAGGTGATATATTTATTTTAGAGTTCGATTTCCGCGTGACTCCGAATTATCCTTAATTTATGTACATGAGTGTATTTTCTCAGATTAAAATAGTGAAGCCGCCTTTACTTTATTGATTCCATAAAATTAATTACTTTTAAAGGCTGTGTTTCTGGCAGATATGGGATAAAACAGGTCACTTTTATCATAGTTAAAAATACTTTTCATGTGTTTACTCTCTCCTTTGTTGGATAAATTCGTGTTCTCTAAGCATACCTTTGGATTCCCTAATAGAAGATATGGGTTTCAGAGATACATTTCAAATTTATGTAACCATCCAGGCGAAAGCATTTACACTCTGTTGTAAAGCTGTTTCTTCTACCTTTCCACTAGCGCAACCTCATTTATTAGCTTTAAATAAAAGACATCCAGAAAAATGCCTTAATCTCGGGCGCTTTTTCTCCTCTGATAAGAAACTACTTCTGGGAATTTTCCAAAAATTGTTGCTCTTTTTTCTGTTTTAAATGTCAGAAAATATCGCATTATTTACACGGATATACTTAGTATCTTTAACAATTCGGCAGTTTCCAGTCCTGTCTTCTTGTTTAGTTTTGTCTTTTCTTTCGTTTCGTACATATTTTAGCAGTAAGTTACATTTAAAAGAAATGTAAAGGAGAGATAATAGTTAAATTAAAACATGTTTATCGAAAGACACAAAAATGAAGTGTCTCTCATTAGAAAACTCATCTGGTCAACAAATTCCGTTATCTATTCTGATCCTCCAAACGCTAGCCATATTTCCATATTTCACCAACGTATCTAATTTACAGTTTCTAAATGTAACAATAGAAAGAAATAGCATTTCCCAATTATATTGACATATCTGCAAATGGAAACATCGATGAATAAGTCAGGAGAAAAACTGCAAATAGTCAAAGTTATGCGTTGTATAAGTGATAATATTTTCATATTGATATAAGCCTGAATGAATCAAGATAGAGATGAACATGCAAAAGTATTATAAATGAGAAACGTATAAACGGTGCTTCAGTGTAATAAAGCGTATATTTCTAAATTCCACTTCTAGCTGAAGCTATAAATTTTTGCTTTCATTTTACCCACAGGATAAGTGACACCTTTTTATACAGACTACTGAGACCTTGGCTGTGGAATGAATTCATATACTGCTATTTCTTCCCTTCAGGCTGGAAACATCGAAAAAATTTAAACCTTGTCCATCAATTTACAAGAAAGGTAATTTTCAACACTCTTAGCTTCAAAGTAGTTACATGAAGTAATTAAATTATAAGGTTGTAGAGTTATTAGGATTTTGCTGAATGACAACTAAGCAAACCTTCGCCGGGACTCGAACCTGGACCTCTCGAATACCGGCTGACTGTGGTATCGTTACACCACTAAGACATGCTGGCATACAAGTGCTGCAAAAATGTGCAATTTAATTTCATTTGCAGCTTCATACAAGTAAAAGCTTATTAATTAAAAGTCAACTTTTAGAGTCTTTTACTCTGCGTAAGTTAACTTTAATTTGTGCTATTTAGCTTACACTGACAATCGCTTTTATCGCTTTTTTCACATATGAAAATATAACAGAGTCGTAAAAAAGTTTTAAATAACATTTTCATTAAAGCTTGAACTTGTGCGTATAAATTAAAACTCCAAAAACAAACTTGTGCGTACAAATTAAACTTTGCCGTATTTTGATAATAGAAAGTTGCAATCACGAATTAAAGTAATTTGTAGCAGAAGACTATAATATAATTGCTAGGTAAGTATAATCTCGTTTGTTGAACATGCAATCCACCCTGGTTGTGGTGGCTGCTGGTTGTAGAATTTCTTTCCGCTGATCAGTCATTATTGCGATTGGTATGACTTTTAGGACAGAAGCCTGGTCAGTGGCGTAAAATAAAATGAAATATAACTGGCCTAGCTAAGCTTAGGCTCAAATTACTAAGTGTGCAATTGAACTTCGGCCAGCAAAATTCATATATATAGACAAATAAATAAAATAAAATAAATAAATAAATTCAAAATGAAGTAATTAAAAGTAAATTAAAAATCATATATGACTTGCGCTAAAGCTGCAAATAAATCAATAATTTATAATAAGAAAACTTTCGATGTACGATCTTCAAAGAACACAAATTCAGTTTAAAACCATGAATGAAAAAAAATTTTAGTCAGAATTATTAGTATTTTAAATAGTAGTTTCAAAGTTTCCTTATTATAAATTATTGTGAATTGCTGGTTTATGTATATGTTACCATGAAAGACCGAAATTGGAGAATGTCGACTTTCACCAGAGAATGTCAACATTCACCAAATGCGTCGGTGAAAGATCGAGTATTGCATTACATTCTTGTACATTCGGACCCTCACCGGTACATGTCGACAATCACAGATATGCTCTGGTGTAGGTCGAAAAGAGAGGAGTATATGCACACGCTGTCATTGCAAAAGGAAGTGTTCCACAAATAAATGCTGTTGTAAAAGCAAGGGCCTCTTGTGCAATTGAAAGTGTCATAAGAGTTTAAGTTGTTTGCAATAAATAAGATTTGAATCACGTAATTTAGTATGTTTTTAACTTCTATTATTTTCCTTTCTCATTTTGAATGTACTGTGTGTTTTAAGTTCTTATTTTAAGTCTGAAGTGCATTTTTTCACGATTACGGAGAAAAAAATATAAATTCTCCTATGTTCAACATTCACCATTAGTACATGGTGAATGTCGACATTTACCGGTGTAAGTAAGAAATAAGAGTATTTGGAAAATATTTCGGACAGACACCAAGCGACTATGTGAATGTTGATATTCACTGGTGAAAGTCGACATTCTTCTGATTTCGGTGTTTCACCGTAACATTTGTTCATATATATATACAAAGATTAATATTTTGGTCTTTTGGAATTTGAAGAAGTCAATTTTGTAAAAATTATAAAATTTAACTTTTCGCACTTTCCCTCGATCTCTTTTATTATATTTAGGAATATTCGCTTAAATAATGATTTAAATACATATGGCTTTTATCTTACAATAGATGATAAAAGAAAAGAAAGAGTTTTTACTGAAAAATTATACCTCGCAGTCTAAGAATGAAATGGAAACAAGAAGAAAAGCATTTTTGGAACTTCTCTTGGAAAATCATTTTAAAGATGACAAATTTACCGTAGAAGACGTGAGAGAAGAAGTCGATACATTTATGTTTGAGGTACAGTGTCTTTGTTGCATTCCACTTTTCTTCATAATAATTATTGATGCTTAAAAATACAACTTCTGGTCTTAAAAGCTGTTTCCATATCTCTTAGAGCAAATTTTTAGCTTTGAAATATATATGCTTGTGTTTATTTAACTCAACGATTTTAATTGTTTCGATATCCCTTTCTAAAATAATAATTTGAGTTAAACATGGATTCCACTTATTTCTAGCAATTTCTCTGAAGTTATTTCTGAAGAAAATAGTTTAATAGTCATATATTAATGGCATCGAATATGATAACCAAGATTATTTGCAGTTCTTTACAGTTCACTATATATATCCCATGAAAACATATTCTTCTGCAAAATACAACAAAACATGTGTTGTGTTTTGAGGCTGTAATTGATGACACCCTCACTTGAATCCCACGATTAAAGGAGGTCAAGGGATAACGTTAAGGTTATTTCATTTCATGCTTCAGACAGCAGAGCCAATAGGGGAAGTTTCTTCGAAGTTCTTTAAGCCGTGATACACAGTAGTTGCAGAGAGAATTGTACTTTATGGGACCTCCGTATGGGGCATAACTGTTACTACTAAAATGTAGAATCTGCAACGCTCAAGACAAAAGAACATTCTTCCTAAGCATTAGTAGGCGAGCAAAAACAGTATAGTCTTCTAAGCATCAGAGGCCTTACATTTAGTGCATTCGTAGCCTGTGCATCTGTTAGTTCAGCTCGAGAATGCAACAGCACTTGCGTTCCGACTCAAAGCTATAACAAGTTAGGGGATAGGTTTATGTATATACTGACTATGCACAAAGTATTCCTGAGCCACCTTATCACCCGGCTGAATTCAATATTTCAGTTAACTGTAAAGTGCCGGCCGAATTCAGAGCCCCACAATTTACACTTGATGAATCAAAATAGGAATGTGGCGCTGGCAGTGGATATTGTATACTACATGGAAGTCAGATCATAAGGACCTGGTAAAGAAAGCTACAACTCAGTTTTTCAGGCTGAGACGGTTGCATTAAAACTTGCCTATAATTTGGCTAACAACTTTTCCAATATATATATATATATATATACAGACTTTGCTTCTAGCCTCCAGGCAATCCCTACTCGTCATAGAAGTACAAAAATTCCTAATAAATATATCAGACAAGTATAGGCCCAAAATACAGTGTAAACCTGCCCACACTGGAATACTGGATAACGAAATTGAAAATGTAACAGCCAACAATTTTATCACTTAAAAAACAATGTAGATCTTCATATTAGGACAAAGTTAGTGTTGCCTTTCACTACCCGATTCGGCATGTGAAGCATTTAAATGAAGCATTTTTACATTTTTAAATGTAGCATTTTTATATGGCCTTGGGATGTTGCTTACTGTGATTAAAAAGATTGAATATTTCATACCGAGGTTCTGGTTGAACCTGTAATGCACATTGAATGAGTCCAGAACTTTGTGATTGGTTGCAAATCTGCGGATATGGCAGCTTATGGTGGTATCTTGCATAAAATTCTTGTCGGGTGTTTGCCGAATGTAGCTGTATAAAAGTTGAAGTGGATTGTTGCTTATACATGAAGAAGAATGCTAAGTTATGTTTCTACAGTCTGAAAGTCCATTTAATCGACTAGCTGACTGATTTAGCCTCATCTAGGGCAAATAATTGCGCTTTATCGAAGCTGTTAATTATATTATCAGGACTGGTATTCCTCTTTACTTGCCTTGGAAACATGAACTGTCCTGACTCGGAACAGGGAGCTTACTAAAGCTATGTTCAATAAATTGTGAAGTAGACAGACGACGCAAGCAGGAAAGGGTATACGAAACCCTTCATTTTCTAATACTTTACATAGATTTCCGGGCTTCGGAATACAGATACCAACCACTTGTGGTCTGAACGTAAGAATATAAAAATATTAACTAAAACTCTAACTAAACTAACTTTGGATTAATATACAAGTGCCTACTTTTAAGATTGGCCGTTAATTAACAAAAAGCCGTATGTAGTACAGAGAGCTGCTAAAACTACGATACGTTTAAAATTATCAAGAGGATTAATCCTCTGGCCTTGAAGGCAACCAGCAAACGAGTAAAACTACTATGGCCAGCGGCCTGCTTCTAATAACTCCTTCCTCTCACTTGCTTGGCAAAAAGCCACAACTTAAGTACTTGGCGTTAGCAAGACAAATTTGCATAAATAAGTTAAAGCTTTTAATTCTGGCCGGAAGTAGAAAATAAGAAGTGATAGTAAAGATTTAAAATAAAATAAACGTTAGTAAAACTTAGGATCCTTACAATGTGTATTGCTTATGAGGATGACTTAATATATTATTTATTAAAAGTATCGGTACGAATTTTGTACATATACGGATAATTTTAGTGAAATTGTTGTATTATTCTATATAATGTAACATGAAAATCTAGAGGGAGGATGCTTTGCCGAAAAGTTAAGAATACAGGAGGAACTCTATCTCGCTAATAGGTCGATAGGCTCTGCCTTATCTTAAAAAAACGCATGACTCTTAAAGCGATATTTAATCATTCGCATGCTTCACTGCGATTCATTTATCACAGCTTCCAAATGTCCGATTTTTCGTCATTATCTCCCTGTCTTTAGGTTGTTTACCTATTTCCCTGGTTCTTTTATTTTTGGTCTTTATTGAAGAAGGTTTTGTCAGCAATAAATGAAATTTAAGTTATGGAAATTTCATTCCTCCACTGATTTTCAGCATAATTTTTCTTATTAAATTTTATTTCATCTGAGTTATTTTTATAAGCTGTAGACATTTTAATACTTTATATGAAGATTGTATGTCACGACTAATATGTCGCGCATTCCTAATTTTCTCCACAAGACAGTACCATTAATTATTAAATTTAATTATTAATTTAATTATTAAATTTCATTAATAAAATCATTAATTATTAAATTATCTTTTCATAGTGTTTGAATATACTTGAATAAATTAGTGCTTTCCTTTCTTCGAATATTCTCTATATAAAAGTGGAAGACAATTACCTACATAATGAAATTAGCCAAACTACATAAAATTTAGAATATTTATTTCAATATTAAAAAGTTTTACTTTAGGACCACATTAAAAATAGTTGAATAATTTGAGTCCTGCATTGTACAGCGAATCTAAGTCACTCTGAAATTCTTTTGCAATGGTTCGGTCACAGAATTGCAAAAGAAATTCCCTTCCTATTTTGGGGTTGCAAGAGCTTCCCGTTTTTCATATTTCAAGGTTGGGAGTTGTGATTCATACACTTCTAGGAAACTTCCAATGTTTTGAACAAGTAACTTTATTTGCTGTAATATGAATTTTTCTGTATTATAATATTGGCCTAGCATAAATGATTCATTCGTTTTGAAAAGGCTACATTTTCAAAAGTATTTCACGTACACACATGAAAGATATATGAAAAGAACCAGAAATTCCCCAAGTTTATACACCCTCTACAAATATTCAGTATGAGCCCCTTTGGTGACACGAAACCCGTCCAGACGATAATCGAGCTCATCGCATACATTTTGTAGAACTGTTGTCCGGATGTTCGTCCTGCCAATTGACCAGATGTTCGGAATACTGTAAAATCTGTAAAGGAAGATTTTGCGTCAACGATTGCATTTCAACCCGTACCATGTGTAGCTCCTGCAACAATTAAAGCAGGAGGATTACGCCCGTCGACTAGATTTTTGCGTCAACATGCAGGAAGCATTAGAGGACGAAGATTTTACCGCCAAGTTGATATTCAGCGATAAAGCAAGGTTCTACTTTTCTGGGAAACTTCGTGAAATAGTGAACAAAATTTTGTGAGTATGTGGTTCTTTTCATAAATTTTTCGTGTGTGTATGCGTCTTTTGAAAATATTGCCTTTTCAAAAGGAATTAATCATTTATACTAGCCCTACAAGTTACGTTGCTATTAAAAGTTTTCTCAGAATCTTAATTTAGACTAAGTTTTTCTTATTTTTAAGGGTCATGATACTACTGCAATGGGAATAAGTTGGGCACTGTACAATCTAGGATTGTATCCTGACATACAACGGAAAGTCATTGAGGAACTGGACAGTATTTTGCAAGAGGATAAAGAAAGATCCATATCTTTTGATGATCTTTCAGCTATGAAGTACATGGAATGTGTTATCAAGGTTTTTATTCTTATACCTACCTGCATGCTAACAAGATATTTTTCTAACTTTGATTATTTAGATTCGAAGCATAAGACATATTGCTCTAACTCGATTTTTTTTTTACTTAATAGTACTTTTTCCTGAAACTGTAAATTTCTTTCTTCACCTTTTGTTATTATTGTGTTTGTTATTACTGTTATCCAGATGGTACAGTGGTTAGAGTCTTATGCCGTACCGAAAGGCCGGATTCGAATCCTGGAGAAGACATGGATGTTTGTAAATGTATAGTGTCTTTCTTTGCGGCATGGGGCACTTTAAATATATGGCGAACCGAAAGTTCTCTCGTGTGGTTTGGTGGTAGGGGAGAGGAGCGGGACCCGGGGGTGGACCCTCGCACCACCCCTGGGCTGCTCTTCCTCAAAATTGGGGTGGAAATAGAAGTCCAACCTTTTGAGGCTCTGGCGATAATTTTTTTCCATGCAACATATGTACAAGACAACAACATTATTATTATTATTGCTTTGGCTTGATTTACGTGACTACGACAGGGTTCTCTGCCTAAGGGAAGGGAGCCTGCGTCGAGGTCTTCCAAAATAAAACTGTCTCTTATACATTATTATTATTATTATGGAAATAATAATAATAATAATAATAATTAGTGAGAAAGCTCTAAATCAGCGACTCGTATTCGAAGCGAAGGAATTCCTCCCAGGAGCGGAATTTATACATCTAACTGTATTCAAGAATTTATTTATTTATTCATTATAAATTGTTGATGCTTAACTACACTTGAAAATTTTACTTTAAATCACTCCATATGAGTGAAAAATTCCTTAAATAAGGTTTTTCAGTAGTATTCTACCAATAGTTAACCTGAAGCAAATAAGTATGTATAATAATATTATGTAACGAACGAATCTTTTGCACTCGATCAGTATCCCATATACTTAATTTATTATTTATTGCTATAGCGAGCTTCTAAAGGTATTGTTACGAATTTTGTACATATACGAATAATTTTAGTGAAATTATATGTGAAACTCTATTTTTCTATATAATGTAACAAGAAAACCTAGAAGGAAGATGCTTTGCCTTAAAAATAAGAATGCAGAAGGAAGTCTATTTAACATTGAATAAATGGCTATCTCACTGATTTGGCGATATATCGCCGAACTGACATTGGTTGTAGTGACTACTTTTGTCACCAAATTTGGCGAGAAATCGCCAATAGTCGCTAAATTTGGCGACCATTTGCCAACATTTTGGTCGGTACTCTGTATCACCGTAAATAAGCATTGTAATTGATTTCAAGTGTAACTGCAAATATATTCGGCCCTCATATGTAATTTCGAAAAGCAGAAAGTACTAGAAATATCTCGGCGGCTGTGTGAAAACTATATAGGGCGGGAGCATCTGTCCTCAATTTTCTATAACTATCTGGATGAACAGTATAAAATGCGGTCCATGGCCATAGTTAAACCAAGGGTGATAATGGAGTAATTAGTATTTAATGTAACTTTATTTATAATTTTTCTTTCCTTGATTTGTATTATTTGACTGTGTTGTTATTGTATGCATTCTTTTTAAATAGTGTATCACATATACACTGACTACCAATAAGTATTTGGACACCTATGCAAATGACGATATCTGCGGTCCTAAGGTACGTCACGGACTCCGCCGGTATGTATCGTGTAGGAAATAGTATCGGCTTTAGTCGCATGCAAGATGCCTCGCAGTTCGGAGCTCTCTGATTTCGAGAAAGGTATAATTATCGGGTATCACACATGTGGCCGATCCTTAAGGGACATATCTAGCGATCTGAAGTACCCAAAATCGGCAGTGGCCTATGTGATTAAGAAATGGAAGGTGAGTGGTGATTGTTGGAATGTGCCCCGAGTCGGCAGACCAACGAAACTGGGAGATAGAGACCGACGAGTGCTGTCCAGAGAAATTGGGAAGAACCGCACCCAACCGATGGCCCTCATCCGCGAGGAGTTTCAACAGGCATCCGGAAGTATTGTTTCAATGAATACTATCCGTAAGGAAGCACATCTGCTTGGTTTTCATGGTCGTGCTGCTGCCCATAAGCCTTTGATCACAAAGTCCAACCGTGATATTCGGTTAATGTGGTGCAAAGCACATCGAAATTGGACCGTAGATCAGTGAAACGGGCTCTTTGGAGTGACGAATCAAGGTTCACCCTTTACCGTTCGGATGGCAGGGTCTGGGTCTGGCGTCTACCTGGAGAACGTCTCCTGCCAGAATGCATTGTGCCAACAGTCAAGTTCGGCGAAGGTGGAATTATGGTCTGGGGGTGTTTCTCCTGGTATGAGCTGGGACCCTTGGTCCCCATTCATGGTATAAGCACTATTTTGGATGCCGCTATTTTGGCTATTATTACTACTGCACTATTTTGGATGACAATGTCCTTCCTACGTTGTGGCAGTTTTACGGGTTGGACCCCTGTTACTTTCAGGACGACAATGCCAGTTGTCATGTTTCGACGTTAACCAAGGCTTGGTATGGGGCCAATGGAGTTCATCGAATGGACTGGCCTGCCCAGAGTCCAGACCTGAACCCTATCGAGAACCTCTGGGACGAGTTGCATCGCCGAATTCAGGGGTGCACTACCCGTGCAAAATCGGTGAAGGAACTTCTATGTCTTCTCCAAGCCGAGTGGAAAAAAATACCACCAGCTGTCATACAAAGACTTGTGGAAAGTATGCCCCGGAGGGTCCACGCTGTAATTACCTCTCGTGGAGGCTCTATCAACTATTGATTTTGAATAAAGTTAGTTTTTCTTTTCTATCACAGGTGTCCAAATACTTATTGGTAGTCGGTGTATAAACTTTACCACTACGACCGCTTGCATTGTGCCTGAATGTACTCGTTTCCAGCTCGACCAGCTTTCTGAATAATCTTCTCCAACTAATCAATTAACAATTATAATAGATTTAAAAAAATTTTCAATAATGCGAATTTGTTATTTTATTTCTTAGCGTATTAAGCAAGTTATTTTGAAATTTTTAATCGTTCGATTCATGATAGGGCACTGGACTCAGGCACCCGGTTGTCTTAAACACCGTTCCACGTCAGCTTCCCTCAACTGTTGTTGTAAGTTACTAGTTCAGAGCGACTTCAGAGTTTTGGAAGCTTCTACTTTTAGATGGGCTTTGCTTGCGTTCTGTTTAACGTTCTTAGTAGTTTGAAATATAACTTTTGATTGTAATCTGTGGTACTGTGAACATTTGCACGAGTATTTCTCTAAATTCCAGACCTTTGAAGTGATTCTTTTGATAAAATAAATTTTGTCAACCTATCATCGGACTTGTCATTCAATCTATTACGAACCCGTACGCATGCAACAGTATGAAAATCAGATATAACAAACTATATGAATATCTTAAATTGAGGCATTTTTTTTTTAATTTTTGTGTTTTTTCAAGCATTTCCGCAGTTTTTAATGAAAAAATTACTAATCGTTAAAATCATCCATGTTTAGGATATTAGGATCCGCTTTTCATGCACATTCTGTCCGTAAAGGAAACCTTCTTTACGTTATTTTTCTTTTATCTTCACCACAACTCTGTTTTCTAAACAGGAACTAGCATTAAATGTCATGAGCTTGACGTTTACCAGTTGATTTTTCTTTTAGAGAATCAAAAGTTTCGATCTTTATCGTTTGTTTGTTTGTGTATAAATGATGTCCAAGTTTTATTATCCGAATATGAGTTTGGCATTCTTCAGATTTTTTGAAAGATATATCATATTCTTTATAACATTTATCGAAACATTATATTGCAACTTAACTTTCTTTTCATATTTTCCAGAAGAGTAAACTCTTATATATTATTTGTCCAAACTATCCTACATTATGTTTCTGTATTAAAAATTCATCAGCATAATGAGCTGGAAGTATAAATTTCTATATTGAAGACAGGGTAAACATTGATTCGAAAAATACAAAATGGATGAAACAAATCGATATCTGCCACAATACAGTTTAAGCAAGTCTACATTTCGTGCCATGTGAGAAAAATTTGCAAAAAAATGTGTCTGTAAAATCTGTAATTTTTGAAAAATAAATAAATAAATAAAATAAAATAAAAGTTGAAGAAATATCGATGAAATGGTTCGCGACTCAAAAGATGCAGTAATATGTCAATATCTGGACAAATGCTTCAGTCAAAAGCTAATGAATTTATCAGAAGCTATGGAGAGTCTAGAAAAGAAAGAACAATAAATTTAATATGTGCCTAATGATAATTGCAATTAAATTTTAATTTGATTTTTTAGAATTAAATTTATTATTCAGTTTTTTTTTTGGTAGATGTGACAAATTTTAATCAGCTTCTTTTTCTTTGTTTATCATTCAATTTCTACATGTTTCTTGCGAGATAATCAATTTTTCGTATCTGATGAACTGTAGAGAAACAAACATCCGGTTCCTTGATGTTAGTTGTAGCGGGGTTCAAATGCATATCTAAATGCCTTTTACTTCTTAATCCCTTTGGCATTTATACTTAATATGTTGCATTTCCACTTCCACAAAAGTACATGAGAGAACTTTCAGCTCATCATATACGTTACGGTGTTCCCATGCCGCATAAAAAAAAAAAAAATACATTTACAAACATCCATCCATGCCTTCTCCGGGATTCAAATCCACGTTCTTCGGTATGGTAGTCAGACTCACTAACCAGTGTCCCATCGGGTCCCATCGGGTTCCAAAGGGCATCGACGAATGGGTCCAAGGTTATCCCACCCCTCGGATCCCTGGGGAAAAGCAAACTGTCACTTCTATGGTGACGAAGGCTCTTGCCGACGACAGACGTAATCTTGTACTCTTTAATAAATTTCGCCGGTTTGTTCTGATGACCTCAGACAAGTGAGATTAGTCACAACGCACACAGATGTTACACTTCATGACTGAGCTATTCTAACATTTTGCGTGAACTTCGACCTTTTGCCTGCATACTTCATTTCTTAATAACACTACAAGTAGCACACGACGTTGCAAACTGGTCCCAGAGGTTGCAAAGTGGTCATGGTAACTTTTACGACGTCTTTACAACGTTGCGAAGACGCAAAATATTTGCCGTTGCATCTTGGCAATTTGTCGACGTCGCTGAAACGTCATGATACGACCGCTTTTAGACGTGGTCGTTTTATCATTTTTTCATAGTTCATCAGCTTTACTTTTAAAATGAAAAGAGATTAAATCTGCCCTTTCATGAATCTGAAGTCCGCATAAGATTTATTTTGCAATGTTTCATCACTTTGTTTCATCTAAATATATTAATCTAAGGTAGATTCATCTAATGAAATACAAATTTAATATAAATACTTTTGATTTATTAAATTTAATTAGTACTAAAAATAGTGGTAAATTATTGTTTAAAATTTGGTTAAAATAATCAATACTTAAAATATTTTTTATAAATATTATAGCAAATTATTTAAAAATTGACCTAATTTATAAAGTTGTTAAGTTATGCATTTTATATATTTTAAAAAATCATATTTCCTAAATCAATGCAAATCACATGTTAGCAATTTTTTCACTGCTGAAACGAATTTATTTGAATTAATATGCTCACATAATATGAAACATTTTTTCCGCAGAGCTCATACAAGTACTCAATACAGAGCATACATACTCATACATACTCAATACAGAGCTCGAGACTTGCGCGCTTTGGCTAGCTGCCAAATTCGTCAAATAACTGCGTAATTAATTGAGATTCCAGCAGTTTTTTCGAGTACTTTGGTAAAGATGCCGTCTGTAAGGCATTTGAAAAGCTGTTGTTGAAAAGATTGACTTCATGTTTGAAATTGAATCAATCAAAGACTGATATAAATAATATTGCTTATATTAAAAGTAAATGTAATGCAGTGTCAATCAAAGAACGCATTGTGAATCTTATCATTGTTTTGCCCCTATCTACTTACTTCAACTGCTTTCAGTGAGTGAATCTGCATTGTTGTGAGCTCCTGTTTGGAAGCCTCTGAATTGAGGAGAAATCGTCGTAGAAATGCCGAATTTGTGCTTATTTTGTTTCTAAATATCTGCCCTACAAGAAGACACCAAAATATTGGATAAATCATTTAGAAAATATCAAATCCAACGTGCTACAATGCTAATCGTGAATACAGTGTTCTGTTTTGGTGTTTTATGCTTTTCCGTAGTTGGTGGTGTTCTTCAATCTTCATTGCTTCCAGCGGTGCCCTATTTGGATACACAGATTAGCGTTTCGGTTATAACGTCCGAAGTGCTATATCGTATATCATTCATATTAAACGATTATCGTTTTGGTGCTCAGAATTAATTCATGTAAAACCAAAAATAACATGCAATGGTAAGGTATTTTCTGGTTTTGCTGAAAATGCAATCAATGCAGAAGTAACAACAATTTAAGCTGTTATGGTATGTTCATTAGTTTCAAAATACAAAAAGAAATATTGGACTGGTACCAGTACTTAACATGACTACTGAAGATGAATTAGATATATGTAATAACAAGAACCATTAAAATTAATAATAATGCAAATTCTATAGTATGCAGAAAAGGTTAATGACTTTAAAGTGTATGAAATGTATGATCGAAAAAATAGTGTTAAGGAAATACTAGCATTACTATGAAATATTGTAATCTATAATTATGCGATATTTAATTGTGTAATATTAAAAAACACTAAATATTTGTTATTGATTGTAAATTGCAGTTTTACTACTTTACGTTTGGTATCTATTCGTTCAAACACTGTGTAATTCCCGTTTTTTAACCATTGCCGTTATGTATGTTTATTAGATTATCTCAGTGAATGAATGTTGGAAATCAGGTTTTTTTTTTATTAAATTTAAGTATATTCTATTGCCGTTATGTATGTTTATTAGGTTATCTCAATAAATGAATGTTGGAAATTAGGTTTTGCTTTTTGTTAAATTTAAGTATATTCTATTTTCTTCGCTTACTTTTTATGTGCTTGTGATAACAAAGAAATTCATAATAAATAGAAACAAAAAGTTTCATCGTGTGCAATTTAACGAAGAGCTTACTTTAACGTACTTAGCTTACTATCGTATACTATATTATTTAAATTATTTCTGTACAGTATTATAAAAAGAGCATGAAGTAATCATTGTAATAGACCACTATTCTAAAATGTAAAAACTAAAAATAAGTAAATACATTAACATATGATCGGAAGAAATGGTGTTAAGAAACATCAGCATTACTAGTAAATACTGCAATCCATAATTATTGGACTTTTTAATTGCTTACTATTTAAAAAACACAAATATTTTTTATTAATTGGAAATTTTAGTTCTGTTACCTTCCTTCTGCTATTTATACTTTCAAACACTACTAGTTCAAGTTTTTTCTTAAATAGTGCTGTCATGTATGTCGTTTGTTAGGTTATTATTTCATTTTAGATATGAATATGGGAAGTTTTCTTTTTTGGTTTTTATATTTAGGTATATTTTTGTATGAAATATTTTTGATCACGTTTATTAACTCATTTTGCATATCTTGGAGATATAGAAGTTAATGGTTATATTTTTTACTATGCGAATAAATTTATACTTGAGTTCAAGTAAAATACTGATTATGTTACCTTAAGAACCGCTTCCTAATTTATCATGACAGGGGCAATTTTCAGTGTCTCTGAGATTTAACAGAAATAAATGTGATAATGCTGTTATAATCAGAAACGCTCTTTTTTTACCCGCATATATATCTTTACTTTTATTTATGTCTGATTGAGTTTTATTTACTTAAAACCTACTATTAATGTTACATATTTATAACAACCACTTTCATAATTACTCTCACTTACATACTAAAGGATTAAAAAAAAATTGATAAAATCTTAAATAATCGTAATTTGGAATTTAAGTTATTTAAAAAATATAGTTTAAAGTACTGAAAACAATTAAGGCTATTATTAATTATGCATAATTATTCTAAAGAGAAAAAATTGTATTATCTTCTAGTTTTCAGGAAAGGATAAAATATTTAAACTTTAGAAAAATACATGGAATACAAAATTTAAAAAAAAGAAGAAAAATGCATTAATTATTAAGCTTGTTTTTCTGCATAACTCAATATGTAACACAGGACATAATAACGACTTTTCCACAACTGTTGCAAAAAGGTCGAATTCTGCGACATTTAGGCGTTAAGACGTCGTGGCACGATGCTTTCACAACCGAAATATAACCTAAGGAAGACGTAATAACGACGCCTGTGCGATAGAAACCTCATCTGCAAAGACGTAATAAAGACCTCTTTGCAACGGTTGCAAAGCAGTGGAGTTTCGCAGACATCTGGGCGTCTTAAAGACGACATATTGCAACGACATCCGCGACGAGTTTGCAACGTCGTTAAGAGGTTGCTGGCTACTTGGGAACATCTCCTTAACTCCACATAAACACAAACTGTAATAGTAAATTTGATAAAAATGTATTCACTTCCATGAAATTCAGAATTTTAACATTTTTGCGCCATTGAAATATTATTTCCGTTTATTACATTGGAAATGCATATTGGAAAATAAGTTAAAAGTTTGTGTTTCTATTGAGAAACATTTAATATATATTTTTGCTTCTTAAATTCTACTAAGTGCGTATTACATTCAAAATAATATGGCACATTGTATAATATGTTTATTTTTATGACCAGGAAAGCCTTCGACTTTTTCCACCTGTGACTTTTATTGGTAGAAATTTGAATGAAACCATAACTGTCAGTAAGTACTATCTCTTCTATTTACCACAATTTGTTCTTTAGAGTGCTTTTGCAATGGTTCTCTTAAAATAAATTATTCACGTACATGCAATATTCTGAAACTTAGCAATCGAGGTTTCAGGGTAAGCATTTTCAACAAATTAGAGTTAAGAGTACTAACTGATGCTAAACGGAGAGTGAAGAACCTATGCGTAAAAATTACCGTATTTCTCTGTGTATCAGACAGGCGTTTTTTCAGAAATTTCGTATCTAAAAACTAGGTGCGTCTAAAGCTTCGTTCAGACGGGGGTGCAAAGGGCATAAGTGGTTAAAGCCGAGCTCCGTTGCCAAGGCAACCAGTCTGTGCTACGTCACAAAATCTGGTTTAGGACTCGTGGCATAGGGTTCAATGTTTTCAACTTTACGCCGAGTTTGGGATAAGCGTCGACCAATCAGAGCGAAGCGGCGTTCTACAGAAGATTTCGCTGTCACAAAACAAGCAGAGCGAACGCGGGAGGTCAATCGAGCAGGAGAACAGCACGGGAAAGTTGTAGACACATCCACGCATGCGCAAATTTAGCTTCTCCCATTGGCCACGGCTTACACGCCGTTCTCGCAAGTGTGAACGGAATTCCCTTATTTTAAGTCCTTATGACTATGCCTCTATGCCCCTTACTCCGCTGTCCGAACGCAGCCTTATAGTACAACAGTGGCACAGCTGGCAATGGAAAAGCCAAAGGTGGCGTTTGGGCAAACGAAACCAAACATGAAAGACTGTCGACCCACATGTGTGGCTTGCATATTAGCCCTTAGAATGCAAAGGTTTTCGCTCATCTCTTTCTTTAATAAACCGAATCGTCAGAAATTTTATTTGAGATTCACAACACTATTTCCTCCACCCCGGGGTGGAGGAATTGTTCTAACGAACAAAATCGTTTGTTTGTTAAACAACGATTGTTTACTAACAAACAAAGAGGTGTGAAGGTATAAGGTCGGTTTAAAAAGAGGGTCGGTTTGAACGCCTAGAAAGCACCTGACCACTGAATGTATAAGTTATTTCTCTCGCCTTCTTAGCATGCCTTCCTGGTGTAAGGGTCAGCACGCTCGGAGCGTAATTTGAGAGGTCCAAGATTAGAGTACCGGCGAGGGCACTGCTCATTTTTCATGTCTCCTGCTTCGAAATAACCTAATGTCTCTACAGTGGTGTCCGAATTAAAAAAGGGGTTGGATGATGATTCTCCACCACCATTATTTAGCGATTGGGTCCCCTAATCTCCAGTTGCCCTTTAAAAGGGGGAGTATATGCCCTTTAAAAGGGCACGTATTTGAGAAGGTGCGAGATTGGAGTCCCGGTGAGGGAATTGTTCATTCTTCATGTCTCTTGCTTCAAAATAACCTAATGTCTCTACAGAGCTTCCAAATTAAACCGTTTCTGGTTCCTAACAAAGTAGATTTCCTCCTGAATATGCACTGAGATTAACCCACAGATAAGGAACCACAAAAAAAAAAAAAAAAGTTCTTTTAGGACAAGACAGTCTACAATAAAGATGAACTGATACAATGCATCTGGGGAATCTGCACCTGAGGCTAATAAGCGGTACACAGATGAGGTCCAGTTAATGGAGGGAAGTTGTGACAGTGATACCGAATTGTATACCGAATAAACGTTGATTTCAATTACTTTATGTATTTTTTTCCTATTAAATTGTAATCCAGCAAGCTAATAAACATCAGTCCATTAACTTTATCCAAATAAAGTTAACGGACTGATGTTTATTAGCTTTAAATTATTTTTTCAATTTTCGGGTCCCCAAATCAAGATGCGTCTTATACATGAAAGCGTCTTATAAAAAGAGAAATATGGTAAAATACTAAAAATGTTAGAAATAGGAACAAATTTTCCTTGAATTTCCACAGTCTTTCCACATTCGAAAACTTGAACTTTCGCTTTGCGAATCGGCGGAATAAAATGTGATCAAATCGGGTGCGTACTCATTTGTGCCTTTTTACTTTTTTATAAAACTCTTAACTGTTGTGGAAGAAAACCAGCAGATGGCTGCTAGTTGATACGAGGGAACGAGAGAGAGAATGTAACGTGTTTAAGATGACAGTTCGGTTCAGAATGATTTAGTTTTGGTGGTTAATTTTATATTCAAAATCTAAAATTCTCATTAGCTGAAGGGTTAAGCTTGTATCTATGTCATTAACTGTATGTAAGAATCACTTAAGAGGCTTACTTTTGAGTGACGCAATTTAAAGAGATTTATTAGAAGTACTTACTATTTTTAAGAATGGACAAGGTATAACAAAACTAAAAAGGGACTATTGCAAATTAAAGTCAGAGTTTAGATTTACATATTTTTTTTATCTTATGCAGGCACAAACTCATATACAGATATATTATTTCGAAGAAAAAACTGAGATACATGCCATAATTGGTCAGTAGAACAGTTCTTTTACTTGTACTCCTCCCCCCGCCTTTTTTTTTTTTTTTTTTTTTTTGACAAACGTTTTTGATAAGGACAAACACGCCTGTTGTTAAAGAACTACATCAGCCCTTTTTAGATTTTTGAAATATATCGAACAGCAGGCATTAGCAATTGGCAGCATCAAAGAAAGAGCGAAAAATGAGACAAGATGGAAGTTTGACGCAGAATGATTCAAATTCAAATTAGTCTTCTTTGACAAATTTTAAATTTTGGTTTCCGAGTTTAAATCATCATTGTCTGAAGCATTAAGTAAGTGCCTGCGTCATTAACGTTGTGCAAAATCATATGACACGATTAATTTTGAAACATCGGGGTATATAACAGTTAACTATAAGCAATTATTGTGGAATAGAGTGGAAAAGGAAAGTAAATGTATTAAAATGGATAGTTAAGGGTTTAATGCACGACAGAAATTTTGATTTAAATATTTACTTTAAACGAACGCACACATACTTGCACATGCACATATATATGATATCCAGTAAGGTGAAACTTTACTACCTGAACATTTTATTAATGACATATTGGCTTTCAAAAGAAAAAAAAAAAGAAATTTATCTTTTTTATATGTTTATATTTCGTGCAGATAAGTTCAATTTTGGGACTTCCCAGAATTTGTCAAATGCAAATGAACTTGTTGCAATGCCTGCAGAGGACAGCATGAATGTATCTGCTGAATCTGAAAAATAAAACAAAGATAAAATTCTTCTCTTTATCAAGATAATGTGATTATTCTGTATTAAGCTTCTTAATACATCATATTAGAAACATCGTTCATTACTACCCTAATGATGCAAATAGCTGTAAAATTAACAATTTGCCAGGGTTATATTACTTTTACTAATAGTTATTTTAATTTGTTAGCCTTTTCTCTCATTTCTTATTTATTTCGCGTTTTTTCGCTTGGATTTAAATGAGCTAAGGTGAATAAGAGTGTAAAATTGAAGAAGCGAAAATGTTAGTTACAGCGTGTTTCGCTATTGAGTTCCCACTTTGTTATTTCTTCCAGCTGCTTGAATTCTGAATCTCGGCTTCGCATTCTTGCCGCCGAAATTTAATATCACGTCGATGTAGGTTTCTGAGTCAACCTGCTAGGTTAATTTTATTTGGCTCTTAGGTTAACTATTGGTTTATCTTTAAATTTTATTTAGTTCACCATTATCTTTAATTTTATCACCGCAAGTGGATGTTGGATTTGTAGGCACAAAGACTGTGCCGTATGTAAATAACTGAGTTTAAAGAAGGGTCTTTTATTCCTCTATCCTGTTGTATTTATCTTCTAATCTTAGCGATAAGTCGCTAAAAGACTTTCAAGTAGGTCTAGTTATCAAGACTTGTATTTCTCTTGATTTGCTTCGGAAACATGATGAGTTCTGACTGGACAGGGAGTTTGACTACAAACTATGTCTTAAGGAGAGTTGAAGAGATCACAAGATAAGAAGGGTTTGGTTACCCTTTATTTTCCTTCAACAATACAGGTGCTCCCACACTTCGGGATACAAAGGCCAAACACTTGTGGTTTACTGAACGTAAAACATAAAACTACTAACTAAATAAAACTAAGAGCTAGCATTGAATAATATATACAAGTACCTAACACTAAGACTGGCCTTTTAAAAGATTTACGTATGTAGTACGCAAACTGCCGAAAGTACAATACGTTTTAAATATCAAGAGGACTAAACCTCTGGCCTTAAAGACAAACAGCAGCTGATTGAAAACTCGCGTTTAATGCAGCGGCAAGGCGACTCACTTTCTCCCTCTATGTCTAACTCTTGACAAAAGGCCACAACTTAAATACTTGGGAGTTAACAAGTACAGTTTGCATAAACAAGTTAACACATTTAATTCTGGCCGGAATTGGAAAATAAGAAGTGATAGTAAAGTTTTAAAGTAAAATAAGCGTTAGTAAAACTTAAGATCCTTACATAGTAGCAGTTTATGCTAGCCAAGGAAACTAGACGTTACAAATTAAATCACGGGAATTTTATGCATTGTAAATTATATCGATTATACATGATACTAGAAGCTAAAAATATAAATGTTTAAAAAACATCAATCGTTTTTATATATTTTGACTCGAAACTGTATTTTGGTGTAGCAAGTGAAGGTTTAATGTCGCATGAAACGTCAACACTTATGATGTCAAGTATGCGACCAATAGCCTTAGTAACGTAAATATACGTAGCAAGACATGCTGTTGAAACGAGTGGGCTATAAACATTTCTATCGAACTTCCCCGTTTCCTGTTTCCGTCTTTAAAAAATCTGATGTGTACACCACAATACTTCCTTGTACGTAATATTAAATTATACGCATTTTTTCTTGCATTTCATTTAAACTTATTGGATTGAATTAAATCTACTTCGTCGATAGCACATAAACCACAATAAAATAAATGCACTCTTTAAAATTCACTATATTTGTTTACCATAGCGACATTCTATCGCTAGATTCACTTAACAGCGTTATATTTCGTTCATATTATAACATGTCTATGTCTTATCACTTAGTAAGAGGCAATCGGCCATTAATATATTACACTTGACTTTTAAGTGCGTGAAGAATCGAATAAGTTGTATCCAATAATATGGAAGTATTTGTGCACATGCTGTGCTAGAACTCAGAGATTACTAGCGACGGAGGCTCCTGTGCCGCCGTCCGTAGAATAAGTAAACTTTGAACAAATGAGGCGCTCGTGTGCGCCATCTATAGTAGGATGAAAAGGAAAAGAATTTTAGTTGACTGGAGCTCTGGTGCCTCCATCTATTGCAGGATGTATTGTAAGGCATTTTTAAAATTTCATAAAAATTATTCTTCTGATAAGCAATCATTGGTATGAAGTAAAATGATGAAAAACACAATTTGCAGTACACTGAAACACGTTTAACAAGAGTAAAAACTATTTACACACAAAGTCTACCTGCTTTGGCGGGAACAAAGTCCATAGCGCTTTTTAATAAGTAAAACTATAAGTAAAGCAAATGAAGTAAAATCTTGGCTAGGTAAGAAAAAAACGAAAATATATACATTGCCACCGACTATTATGGTGAATAGTGCGGGGCCCCTTTTCAACTTTATTCAATTGTGAAATCATAATTTCCTGGTTTTTTATGATATTCTTAGAGTGATTGTCACATTTCGTAAAAAAAGTTATGAGAAGCTTTTAGAATTTCAGAATCCGTGGGTTTAATTTTCAAGTCATTGTGAAGAGTGCTGTTTCGTACGAACCAAGGCGCATTTGTAATTATTCATATGGCCTTGTTTTGAATTCTTTGTATTTTTTCGCGGTGAGTTCTTGAAGTTGCAGTCCACGCTAGGGAAGCATACAGTAAAATCGGGCGGATAAAGCTTGTAGATAAATAACTCTTTTTGTAGCGAGACTAAGTTTAGAATTTCTCCCCTATGAGTACATAGATACTTCCTATTGCTTGGTTGGCTTTTTTACAGATATTCTCGATATGGTTTTTGAAGGTTAGTTTTTGATCGAGAAAAACGCCTAAATACCCACGTTTTTCATTTGGGATAGTGATATTATTAATTGTGATATTGTTGAGATGTTTTCTGGAAGTGTTCTTTTGGAAATATATTGTATAGGAGACACAATAACACGCCGAACAAATACTAATTCAGAAGTCAAACAACAAAAATCATTATATTATTATAATGATTTATATATATTTTCAAATTTTCACAGGACTAGTTTCGATGGTTTTACCGAATCCGGTAGTGGATCACCATTGTAGTATATTGTAGTGGATTTGCTTTCATTGATTTTAATTTTCCAAACGTTAAACCATGGGAAGATGCAGTCTATTGCATTTCTGGAGGTTTTGGATGGCTCTTTGCGGATTGATGGATTTGCTGAGAATTGCAGTATCGTCTGCATAGCAGGCGATAATGGCATCATTGTGGCTGGGAAGATCATTTATGTAGATATTAAAAAGAAAAGGCGAAAAATTCGAGCTCTGAGGGACACCTCATGTTATAACTCAGAATGCACAAAATTTATATCATTTTGAAGAATTATAATTATCTAATTGTTGCCACATGTTCTATTCAAATACTATAATAAATCTAGAATGATGTATAAAAGAAATTAAGCAAACAAAACAAAAAAAATAAGTTTTTCACAGACGATTGAGTATTTCTCATTCAATTAATTCAGTTCTCACTTCGCGACAAGGCAAAAATACATAAAAATTCAAAACAGCTATATTAAAAATTACGAAGTAAATCTTGAACACTTATTTCTTCGAAAAAATTCCAGAAAGGATTAAGCATGATTTAATTCGCATAATAAATGAAGGCGTTTTCTTTGTTGTTGCGAAGCTTAGTCTCTCCAAATTTTCAATGAAATCTACTATTCTGTTATGTTCGCCATGCTGTTTAAAAATTAGGCTTAGCCGCACTTAAACAGCTTTTAAATTGTTGATAATTCTACACATATTGCTTGAAGATTTCCTAAAGGCATAAAAATTTTAACCTGAAGATAAGAACAACATAATACAATCATTTTTAAAGCAAAAAATGCACAATTTACAAACATATAAGAATAAAGAAACTGAGCTACGTTTGGTGTGGTCAAGTGCAACCAAAATACGAGGTGCACATTTACATGTTATAGCAGTCCTATATACAAAATTTCAACCTTCTGAGACTACTCGTTTGTGAGTTATGCGAGATACATACGTACGTACAGACACCACGAAAAATTCTCTTCAGAATTCATTTTAAAGCAGTTTTATAATTTTATGTTGAGTCTTTTATTCTGTCCTTACGTACAGATGTCACGCAAAAACATCGTTAAATTGCATTCGATAACGGTCAAAATGTATATTTTCGTTGAAATATGCTGCTTGAAACTTTTCGCGATTACAATACTTCCTTTTTACTTCGTACAAGGAAGTAACAAAAGATTCAGCTACACAGCATTATTGTGTTCCAAAAATGAAAACCATAAGTCAAACTGGAATTACATTGACGGCCATATTTATTACGTTGACCAGTCTTCGAATTTGTAGCAGCGGCATGTGTACAAAGGGAGTACTATATTTCAGAAGCGAATTTACAGTCTTCAGTATTATAGTAAATATATTGCATAATATGTTGTAATGTGCGGAATTATAGTAAGTGTATAATAGTAAGTCAGTGTGATGTATAACTGCAGGCTTGAAATTCCAATGTTAGTCTTAAATTTTACTGTTTTTGTTTTACCTTTACCAGTTTTGTATCAATGCAGCTCTGTACTTCTAAGTTTTTTTTATTTATTTATTTATTTATTTATTATTATTATTATTATTTTTTTGTAACCTATACTATCAGGAATGTCATATGTATTCAAGGTAGTCCTTTGTATTCCCTATCTAGATGTAACTCTGTACTCTTTTTTTTTTTTTTTTTTTTTTTTTTTTTAAATTTAGAATTAATAAATGTCTGCAGGGCGGACATCATACTGCAAGGGCTTGTTCCCGGTCAGTAGTCCTCCTTAGCAGTGTAAAAGTAAAAAAAAAAAAGTCTCCATTAAATGATAGTTATAAATATAGTCATAGTTTATTTTTCTGAGGAATAATTTTGATCTCTATCAGAGCATTACCGAATGAAATGAACTATTTTCAGGTTAGAAATAGTATTTTAATTATAATTTCTTTTCATTTTAGTGAACTATGAAATCCCAGCTGGAACTAATTGCGTCATCGTTATATCAATGATTCATCGAGATCCAGAAATGTTTCCCAATCCAGAAAAGTTTGATCCTGATAGATTTCTGCCAGAAAATAGCGTCGGTAGACATCCATTTGCTTATATACCTTTTTCAGCTGGTCCAAGAAATTGCATTGGTTAGTAAAATTCATTTTCGATATACTGGAATAGAAATTATAGTGTTTCACTAATGTTTTCTAAAACTTATTGCTTAATTTGTGTATTGTAATGCTTGACTTTATTGTAATGGTAAAATATTATTACACATTTCTGTGTTAAGTTTTTTTTAGTTCATCATTAAGTTAATAAAACTTTTTGAAAGCAGTACAGTTCGAAATTTTAATCACAGCTCAGAAAATATTTAATTGCTTAATATATATGAATTGAAAATATGTGAGATAGCATTTAATTTATTTTCTATATTATTGAAAAAGCGATGTTTCGAAATGGTGTAACCATATCGAATATCTTACATGTGGTAATAAAGAAGCATTTTCATTTTATTAACGAAAAAAAACCTAATAAAAATTAAATGTTTTGAACATTTTGATACATAACGCGTTTTGCTTATTATCTGCGTTTTAAATTTGTATTTTTTTTTTTTTTTAACCTACAGCATTTAACACTATTTGATAAGAAAATCTTCTTTTTTACCTTTCCTTGAAGAAATCCACAGGACATTTAGAATTTTTTGCCATTTTTTCTCATGGAAAATTTATTTACAGCTATTTACAAATCGTTTGCTTACAGAAGAACATTCATTTTATTTTCTTTTGTTGCCAGTACTTCTTAATTCGCAAAGCGGTAAGAAAAAATCTGATGTGTACACCACATGACTTCCTTGTACGGAATATTAAATTATACGCATTTTTTCTTGCATTTCATTTAAACTTATTGGATTGAATTAAAACTACTTCGACGACAGCGCATAAACCACAGTAGAATAAATGCATTCTTTAAATTCACTCTAGTATTTGTTTACCATAGCGACACTCTGGCGCTAGATTCACTTAACTGTATTAATAATTGTATAACAGTTAACTTATATAAAAATTATATAACGGAAACTAAGTTAACTGTTATATAATCCAATAATTATATAACAGTTAACTTATATATTTCGTTCATATTATAACTCATAATGCACAAAATTTATATCAATTAAAGAATAGAATTATCTAATCGTTGCCACATGTTCTATTCAAATACTACAATAAAGCTAGAATGATGTATAAAAAAAATTAAAAGCAAACAAAACAAAAAAGAAACAGTTTTTCACAGACGATTGAGTATTTCTCATTTAATTAATTCAGTTCTCACTTCGCGAGAAGGCAAAAATACATAAAAACTCAAAATATCTATATTAAAAATACGAAGTAAATCTTAAACACTTATTTCCTGGAAAAAATTCCAGAAAGAATTAAGCATGATTTAATTGGCAATAATAAATGAATGCGTTATCTTTGTTGTTGCGAAGCTAAGTTTCTCTAGATTGGCAACAAATCCACTAGTCTCCTGTTTCAAATGTAAATCTTCAATCAATGGTCAAATTCATCAATGGCCGCCATTAAAAAAAAGGCTTAGCGGCACTTAAACAACTTTAAAATTGTTGATAATTCTAAAAATATTGCATACAGATTTATTTACTAAAGATTTACATACAAAGGCTAAAAACCTTAACCGGAAGATAAAAACAACATAATACAATCATTTTTAAAGCAAAAAAAATGTACAATTTACAAACATATAAGAGTAAAGAAACTGAGATCACTGAGCCGTGTAACAGAGTGGATATATATATATAAATATATTTATATACGTTTGGCGCGGCCGATTGCAACCAAAATACGAGGTGCACATCTAACATGTTATAGCAGTCCTATATACAAAATTTCAACGTCCTGAGGCTACTTGTTTTTGAGTTATGCGAGATACGTACGTACGCACGTACGTACATACGTTCGTACAGACGCCACAAAAAATTTTCTTCAGAATTAATTTTAAAGCAGTTTTATAATTTTTTTGAAGGAAATGAGTATTTTATTCTGTCCTTACGTACAGATATCACGTAAAAACATCGTTAAATTGCATTCGATAGCGGTCAAAATGGATATTTTCGTTGAAATATGCTGCCTGAAAGTTTTCGCGATTACAATACTTCCTTTTTACTTCGTACAAGGAAGTAAAAATAATAAACGTAATTCAAAAAAACTGTGCCCTCTAGTGGCCAACAACATCAAAATTTAACCCACCGCGTCCATAGAATTCCCTAGTCGTCCTTTATTTTAGTAACCGTTGGTCGTAAACATATACTTTCAGCTGAAAAAATGTTTCAAATGACATAAACATTCACTTTTGGGCATTTTTAAATTTAAAGAAACGTTTTTATAAAAATTACAAAATCTTAACAGTCCTTATACTTACATTTAGAAAAGTCTTGTACTCATTATGACAAACAAAACTCAAAATATTTGCCCCACATACGACAATTCACCAAGATATTTAGTTTTAGAATTTGTGATTTCTGACGTCATATCGAATTTGCAATGAAAGGCCGCTAATAAATAAATTAGAATAATTTGAGGTTGATTTTTTTTCCTTTAATTCCTTCCATTCAATGATATTATTTTCTGATTCACTAGTATCTTTATTTCATAACTTTATTCTTTTTGGAATGGCGAAATAATTTTCATACAAATAATTTATAAATTTTTCTTGCTTATTGTCTGCGTTTCTAATTTGTACTTTTTTTTTTTTTTTTTTTTTTTTTTTTTTTTACCTACAACATTTAACACTATTTGAACCATTTTCTCAAAATACTCTATAAATATTCTTTTGAAGTTTTATTACTTTGGAATCATAATCTGATATTCCGATAATCATAAAAGTATAAATATTTTTTTCATTTTTAACTCATGCGATTAATATCACAAATGAGCTAAATGTTAAAACTGTTTCCTAGAACGGGAATTCTACAAAATTCTTTGAATAAGACATCCATTTAAAAAAAAAAAAAAAAAAAAAAAAAAAAAAAATTTTGATCAATATTTTCCAGAGGTCTTGACTGAGAAATGGTCTTGATTTATTCTCTTATTCTGAAAATGCAGTAGTTCTTTCTTGTTAAGCTCATTTGTTATGATCCTCAGACAACTTATCCATGTCTTCACGTTTAACTTCGTAGAGAATGGTTTTACCTAGAGACACTTATCACAGGTAATTCAAAACGTCCCAATGTCAAAGCGCTCAAAAATCTGTCTGCAGTCCAATTTGGCCATAATTCATGGTCCCTTGCTAGGTGCAAAAGCATTTAAACAATGAAATTTTTTTAATGGTTGGCTTTAGCCGTTAATAGGGATTGGCCACTATTAAGTCCGGTAGTGATGGTCTCTTTATTATGGAGGCGCCTAATAGGTGGGCGACTAAAACATGTCCATTTACTTGGAGTGTAACTATCGATTGTAAACTACGCAAATTTCCCTTTTAAGAAGGACTAAAAAACAGGAAGCATTATAAGATATATTAGCTGAATGTTTACTTATTATACCTCTGAGGAATTAAAGCAATTGAATATTTACCATACATCCTATTCCTATATACTTTAACAAATTAAAGAATAAATCCAGTTTAAATTACTGAATTAAAGTTTAAGAAATTATTGTAAATAACTGATATTAAATATAATGTTTATGAACAAAATAGATAAAAATGAAATGAAACAGAATTGCAATAAGCACAAACAAGTTTCCGTAGAATTGCAATTGTAAACAGCTGATAAGACCTACATGACGAACAGGCTTGTGTAGTTGCTAATGCTTGTCTCCAGTACTTCGAGCATGCACAGTAAGCGAACTTCGTTAGCATTTATCAACTCAATGTGCAGTTTGCCATTACGCTGTAGGGGCGGACAAATTATAGCCATGTCTTCTGCGGAATTCGAACCTGAGCCCTTCGGTACGACAGCCAGAGTAACTAACCACTTTGTAGTCAGGTTGGCACAAAGGAAAATATTAAAATGATATTTTCAGAAGTTTCCGAATTTAATTCCGAACACAATTTTATATGGTTTTCTCAAAACACCTTTGAAAACTCATATCATACCCATCTGAGCGTTCGTAATTTGAAAAGCTGTTTGTAATCCGAGGCGTTTCGTATTCTTATAGCCTGTTAACGTTCTTCAGTTGATTATCGTTCATTGTTCTTCAGTTTTTCAATTTTTTCTTCACTACAAGATGTCTTAGACCAACCACTTCAAGCAGCATCTTAAATGGAATTCTCTTCATTTTGAAAACATTTAAATCATTCATTTTAAAGATACGGCTCCCTCTTTGTAAACGTTTTTCACCGTGCTATATTTCATATATTTACCAAGCTTAAAACAGAACTTCAAATTGGTTTGTTGCTCTATTTTGCAGCCACTACTGCACCTTTACACGCTAAAGAGTCGACCAAACAGAAACCCGTATTTTGCACTTCGTCAGTTCAATTAGGTCACAATCAGTCACGAAGTCATTCCCCGAAATTTACTGTCGTGTCTCGTGTCTATTTATAATTCTCACAACTCTTTGCTCTAAAGCCTCCCTCGATAAACAATTAGCAATCGCAATCAAGCAATGCTTTTTTGCCAAGTGTAGCGTATTCTAATAAATCAAATGCATTTGATTTCATATTATATCACATTTTTGTATAAAAATTGCATAAGAAATTAATAATATCTAAATTCTTCTCTAGAATTAGCAATGAAACTGTTTCCTATAACTAGGCTCCAAGAGCTTTAGATACCTCTCTGGTTACTGCAACTTTCAGGTTCTCAAAATACGTCAAAAATGGAGTCCCTTCCCATTATCAAAAAGATTCGCAATGTAGATTCATTAGGTTTTTTGATTAAGCAAGAGTTGTGAAAAATGTGCAGTGCCATCGCTGGAATTCGAACCTGGAGCTCTCGAATACGCGCCGAGTGTGCTACCTTTACACCACGAAGGCATACTGGAAGGATGGAGAAAATTCATTATATGTTCACCCTTTAAAGGGTGATTGGCGGTTAGGGGACCCAATCTCCAAATCCTGGTGGTGACGAATTATCTTCGCCACCAATTAGTTCGCTTGCCACTGTCGAAACAATAGGTTATTTTGAACCAGAAGACATGAAAAAGGAACGATGCCATAGACGGGACTCGAACCTGGACCACTCGAATACACGCCGAGTGTGCTACCGTTACACCAAGAAGGCATGTGGAATAGCGGGAGAAAATACATTATAGCATGTAAACTCGTTATTTAGCATTTAAACAGAAATTTAGAAATCCGAATTGGTCCACAATCTGCTGTTCTTTCTTGACCAATTTTCAAAATACTACCCAGTAGGAAGAACGGAAATGTATTCTTTGGCAGCTGATAATGTTTTCTGCCGAAAGTGTTTTGACACAGTGTTCGGGTTAGACTGATCGCAAATTCTGAATTTCGAAATATTATCTCCAGATAATTTTAACGAGTGTATTATTCTGTATGCTGCACTTACGAACATATGTTTTTGTATGTGGATTATTTCTGTAATATATAAATAATAAGATTTCAGACACGAACAAAGATATATCATTATTTATATATCCATACAAATATATTTATCCATTGTGAATACCTATTCATGTAGCTCTTATCTGCGTAGCGTCTTTGTTTTCTATCAAAGCATAATTAGGAAGTATAAGATCGATTTATTGAGGAAAACATCCGGATAGGAAAGCAAATTAAGTAAATGTTCAAAGAAAATGCAAGAAGATGGTATAATTGTGAGTGAACTATGTAATCCAACGGGAAATAAAGTAAACAAAGCTCCAGAAAACCCAATCTGGCAAACAATTTAAAATTTTTAATAATAAGTGCGATAAAGTTTGTAATTATAACACAAATTATATGGAAATATGAGTCATGAATCGAAAATGTAAATATGAAAAAGTGTGTGTGATTATGGCAAAGCCTCGAGAGGGCTATCTGCCTGAGGGAAGGGATGTCTTCGTGGAGGACTTTCTAGGAAGAACTGGCTCATATACACGTTGCACATGGGGAAAACCACGAAAACGCCCATGCAGCCAGCCCGTTCGCGGGATTCGAACCTCGGACCGAACTACCAGTGTTCAGCGACTTTACCGCTCGGCCGCTGGTGGGCAAATATGAAAAAGGCAGCTGAATGAGAAAAAGCAACTTCAAATATAATCGTACGTACTATACGAAATATAGTATTCCATAAGCGCTTACTGTTTTGTTGTCGAAATAAAATGATCAACGACAATAATTTATATAATAGTCTATAGAAACCTTCTTTTTGAAAATATAATATTGTGCCGAAAACATTGCGGAGAAAACCACGCAAGGCGAAAACGTCCTCGCACAAAACATCGTCGTCGAAAATGAAGCTATTCAAAAATTTCGCGGTTTAAAAACAATGTTGTCGAAAGTATCATGGTAAAAAATAAAACGCCTACAAATCATCGTATGAGAGTAACGTCGCCGGCATGCGTTAGACTTTAAAAATTCGCATCTTCACATAATGACGGGCGAAGGCAAGAAGGTGTATTGGTGTATTGAGAATACGACAAAGTACATTAGGACTATCTGCCTAAGGGTAGGGATGCCTTCGTGGAGGCTTTCTAAGGGAAACTGGCTCGTATACACGTTATACATGGGGAAAACCACGAAAACGCCCATGCTGCCAGCCCGTTAGCGGGATTCGAACCTCGGACCAAACTACCAGTGTTCAGCGATTTTACCGCTCGGCCGCTGGTGGGCCCGAAGGCAAGAAGGAAAAATATGAAATATAAAAGTAAAAATGAATAATTTTTATATTTCATATTTTTGAATTAACTAATAAATTTTTGCTGGAAAAATAAGCAGGAAATTTGACCATTCAAAACTGAAAATAATAGAAAAATAATTAGGTATAGCAAGCAGTTAATAGTATGTAAACTTATATAGTTAACTAATAAAAGTCACTAATTATCTCGTTTATAACGTTTTATTGGTAATTTTTCATGAAAAATATATTCTAAAAAGGATTAGAAAAAAGAAAAGTAACTGTACGTGGTTACCTTACTGATTAATTAATGATCAAGGTATAAAATCCTGTTAACTGCTATAAATAGCTTTAATTTCCTATTCATTTTCAGTTCTTAAATGCTTAAGTTTCGTTTTTAATTTTTCAGCAAAAATTTACTAGTTAATTCAGAAACATAAAAGTCGAAATATTCCTCATTCCTTCTTGCGCTCACTAATCATTATGCGAATAGGCATTGGCAACTTTTAAAACCTGAAAATTGCATGTTTGCGAAGTTATCGTTATGGGATAATTTGTAGGTGCTTTACTTTTTATCATTATATTTCCGACTATAATGTTTTTAAACTGAGAAGTTTTTTGAATCGCTTTATTTTCGACTACGATATGATGTTTTATAACTGCGATGTTTCCTTCTTGCTTGATTTTCTCCCACTATGTTTTGTACGATGATATTTTCGCCTTGTTTTTTCTACGACGTTTTCGTCTGCGATGTTTTTGTCTGTAACCGACTCCGCTGGGCGGTCCACTAACCCTAACTTGATGGGGTGGGGCCCAATAATTACATTGATGACGTTATCTGTATCAGTTTTCCCTACCATTTCTTGTGTAAGATACAGTTCATATTATTCTGGCAATATTTCGTGGCTACTCTTATTCAAAATTATTCTACCGTAATTCTTAAACAGATTTCTTTTTGTTATTCTCATTATTAAATAAAAGACATTTGTGCCATGTCTTTGTTTGATATAGAATTTAGAACTCAGTAATTCGAGGATTAGTTTCAATTTGTTTAATTATTGTAACAAATAAGCTATAAACAGATTTTTAGAATAATTTGAAATTTTATTCATAAACTAGTTTTACAGTATTATGTACAATTATTATGTTTTACAGTATATACTTTGCTATTTTCTTGCAGGTCAAAAATTTGCTCTGATGGAGGAAAAGGTTGTCATTGCTCAAATTCTGCGAAAATTTCAATTGATTTCGTTGGATCCTTTAGATAGAATAGATATTATGACGGGACTCGTATCTAAGAATGTTCAGCCTCTAAGAATGCGTTTCATTCCAAGAGATTAGTTTTTAATTGCGTCTATAGTAAGATGCTGCAATTACTACAGCTGTACTGATTGATTTTAACTTTGGGACAAGTGTTTTTATCATTTTTACCCAGCTGCAATTACTAGAGCTGTTCTGATTGCTTTTAACTTTGGGATGAGTATTTTATCACTTTTATACATCTGCAATTACTACAGCTGTGCTGATTGATATTAACTTCGGAACAAATATTTTTATCATTTTTACATAGCTGCAATTACTACAGCTGTACTGATTGGTTTTAACTTTAGAACAATTATTTTTATCATTTTTACCCTATTAGTTTATTATATTTTAACATTAAAAGCTTTCTTTTTTTTTTTACTTTTCCTGAGATTAGTATGTTATTTTGTTTTTTATCTAATGTCTACTCTGTTCTATCTACTATGTATAAATGAAAACTGAGAAAAACCTTTTGCTGAAATTGAAAAGTCTCTTGTGGAAATAAAATTTATGCGTTATTGTTCAAATTCTTGTCTTTGACTGATTTTCAAAATTTTGCTATTCTTGATGAAATTAAGAATTATGATTTTACTTTATGGAGGACGAGTTCTCTGTAGCTAGTATAAATATCAGCGGAACAAGCAGAGTGACTGTTTTGATAAACTGACGGTATTTTAGGTTTTACATAAGTTAAGTTACGAAGAATGAAAATCGAATTTTGAAGATAAAAGAAATTATTTACACATTTAATAGCTACTGAAGCAGCGTGCCATAGTTTGCACCAAAAGAGACCGACATCAAAGAGAAAGGATTTTTAAAGCATTAAGACTAATCAAAAATTTATATTATTTTGTGCTAAAGCTGTAAAGGGAGAAGGAGATAAAACGTTTTCATGAGATGCACACATATTAAAATAAATGAATTAAAAATACATAACTTGAATAATAATTTGATAATTTTGTGAAATTTGATAAGAATCTGATGTCTATGAATTAAATTTATTAATTTTCATGTATTTTTAATAACATTTATTTTTAAAATGCGTTATATCCTTAAAAGTAAAATTCGGTGTTATCATCTATGCATACTAAATGAAATCTCACTGAAAAATACAAGAATTTTATTCTGTAATGCCATGCTTTCTTAATAACAACATCCTTTTCTCAATGATTAAACTATTTCAATTATTATTTTTGTCATAAAATTTTGACGCAGACTGCTTAAATATTTACACTTGCAATGACTACCAAGTTAATTGGATTAATTAAGTTAGCTAATTTTTATATATCAGTTTGTATGTTTCATATTTTCATTAAAAGTTATTTAACTCAAAGAATTTGATAACTGAAATATCATATTGCTCCATTTATTATTAATGTTATGTACAGCATATAAAATATTTATCAGTAAATGTTTAAAACCGCATTCAAAATTTATTGTTAATGTGTATTACATTGGACCAAATTTTTGAAGCATAGTTTGATATTAAGATGTAATAACGAAATTAGAGAATATTAGGTTCATACAAACAAACAGCATTGCATGTAATTTTCAGACTGTTCTTTTATAATCAGCTCATACAAAATACTTGGGAAGAGGTGTCGAATTACATAATACAGAGCAAGAAACAATAATCTATAAACATGTTTATTCATTAAAATTTTATAGAATAAATATAATATCTCACATCAAAGCATTTCTACACAAATATATAACAATTTATTGTAAAAAATGATTGCGAAAATTAATTTTATTAGAAATAGTCGTGTGAATAAAGAATAAAATTTTCATTTTTTAAACTATAAAAGCTTGCAAAAATACATTTCTAAAACTTTAGGGAGGTTTCATAGCTTCTAAAACATAAGAAAATATTAAAATTTCAGATGAATTTATGAACAGTGTTTTGTGTCATGCCGATTTGTTGCTTTAATATGATTATAAAAGCTATAAATCGTTATTGAAAACGTTTCTTTAAACAAATTTAAAAAGCATCATTATAATGAAATCATTAATTACGCATGGTAATAGTCGAGAAAATGGGAACAGTATGCAAAGTAGTATTGTTGGTCTTGGTGTGTATAAACATTTAGGATTTTCAGCCATGACAGCCAGTTTCAAAAAAGTAACAACTTCTTGCAAAACATCACTCAATATAAAATTAAATCTTTTAAATGTGAATGTAACTTCCTTTTCCAGATAATCTCTTGGCAATAAATCTTTCATTTCATAAGAATTTCTGTCCCAAGCTTTTTGAAGGTATGGAATAACTCTGTTTTCAGCAGTTAAGGCAGTTCTGAAATAATTCGATAAGTAAAAAAAAAAAAAAAAAAAATTAGAATAATTTCGTAAATATTTAAATGAATTTTTATTAAGTTTTCTTTAAATGATTTCATTAAATTCATAAGTCAATTAGTTTCAAAAACTTTCACAAATTTAATTAAGAAAGTTATCATAGAATTCCTTCAGTCCAAAACATCGCACATACTTCAAGAAGTATATGATAAAGTTTCAATAAATCAGTTATTAAATTTATTTAATTAAAATATTTAATTAATTACTTGATTAATAGAGTTTAAAGAATAGCAATAAATATAATAGTAATAAACAGAGTATTAATAAATAGAGTTTACATGACAATGGATAAACCATTGTTCTAAAGCAAGTATTGAAAATAAAACAAATACTAACAATTAAGATTTAAAAATATATAAATCTTCAAAAACTATTAATATGCACATATGTAAATAGACACTATTCATCTCAATTTTGTACAGTTACATAACAACGCTGCCAAATCTAGGAATAAAATTTTTGCAGTTTATAGATCAACAATTTATATTACAGAATTTCTAATATGTTTTTCATAAGATTCTTAACATTAGCGGAATATGTAGCTCAATTTTCATCGGAAACTATACATTTTACAATAAAATAAAGAACATTTTTAGAAATTAAACTGAGAAATACTCATGTGCATGGCATATATCTGGGACACTCAGCGTGGCATATATCATGGTCACTCAGCGTGCCATATATCTGTGAAAAAAATCCCAGATATATGCCACGCTGTCAAAAAAAAAAAATTCATTCTTAGTATCACAGTTCTGGTTCATATTCGCCTCTCAATTATTCATGTGTAAATTTAGCTGTGGAAATAAGTTTAGCAATTGGTTCAGCAATGAAAAACCTTAGCGAGCATTGGTTAATAAGGAATAGAAAGGACTGTCTCGCAGCCGTTTATAGAATGATTATGCTTATGTGACGAATAAATATTTGCCTTGATAAGCTAATTCAGTTTAATTCAGTTAATGCCTCTTAAACGCATCATTGATTAACAATTAGTTAATGTCCTGTGGAAAGGAGACATGAGGCAAGTAGGAAGGAGAAGACCATTGTCTCATAAGCCAAGGCAACTATTAGAGTAGTTACACTAGGAAACTAGAGAATTAACTCAAGTAACAAAATTGTTATTCCTAAGTCAATGCGCACTTTCTCTTACAGAATGCGATTAAGGACTTTCTACTGTCCCTCTTTTTCTATATCCTCCGAGTTGGATTTCAGCCTCTATTACGAGGGCATTACACTTACTTACACAGCTAAAATTTTAACATTTTGCATTTCGTATGATAATGATACTAAACTGTGCACGATTTTTACTTCCTTTTACGAAGTAAAAAGGAAGTATTGTAATCTCGAAAAGTTTCAGGCAGCATATTTCAACGAAAATATCCATTTTGACCACTATCGAATGCAATTTACGATGTTTTGCGTGTATCTGTACGTAAGGACAGAATAAAAGACTCGTCCCTCCAAAAAATTATCAACTGCTTTAAAATTATTGAAGAAATTTTTGTGGCATCTGTACGTACGTACTACGTATCTCGCAAACTCAAAAACGAGTAGCCTCAAACGTTGAATTTTGTATATAGGCTGCTATAACATGTAGATGTGCACCCTGTATTTTGTTGCAATCGCCGCCCCAAACGTACAAAATATCTTTATATATATATCCAATCTGTTACCCGGCTCAGTGATCTCCTTTCTTTACTCTTATATGTTTGTAATTGTACATTTTTGCATGTACAATGAACATGTGGCACGATTAGATAATTCTATTCTTTAAATGATATAAATTTTCGCATTATGGTTTAATAGAACCAAATATAATACTGTAATGAATAGCGCCAGAGTGTCGCATGGTAACAAATACTAGAATAATTTAAAGAATGCATTTATTCTATTGTGGTTTCTGCGCTGTCGGCAAAGTGATTTAATTCATCCAAAAGTTTAAATGAAGCAAGAAAAAATGCGTATAATTTAATATTCCGTACAAGGAAGTCATGTGGTGTACACATCAGATTTTTTTAACTTATTTTTATGCTGCTTTTTCTTTGTTCAACAGTGAAGTTGCAAATTAGAATGCATTTAGGAATATTTTTTAATATTTGTAAAATAATTAGAAACAAAAGAACAGCACGAAGTGTAATTTCTGTTTTTCTTCTTTATCTAAAATTAGGACAATACAGGAAGACTGCAATAAATGTGAATAAAGAAATACAAGTGTGTAAGTAAATTACATAAAATACAGGAATAGATTTAAAGTACGCAGAACTGTGCAAGCGAATTGCACGAATACAGGAATAAAAACAAATTATACGGAATTGATTACAAATATGGATATAACAAAAAGGAGTGTTAATAATAATTGTATGACAATTATTATCGAGTAAATTCCTATCTAAAACCGTAAGTTTCTGCAGTCGCTACATTCACTCCAAACTTATACATCTCTAGGCGTAAAGAATCACAAAATGCTGAAACTGCATTTTTGCTGGCAGCATACGGAGCAATGAAATAAAAAGGATATTTTCCTGAAAGTAAACAAATGTGTAGTATCTCTAATATATGCATTTTACCTTATTTATAATATGGAATGACAGACATCATTGGATAATAAACTCTAATATTGCTTTCCCTATATTTCGAGGTTTCTAATAGGCTCCTATTTGAAGCTTGTAAGTTATTTATTTATTTTATGTAACCAGTTATTTTATGTTAATTAGCTTTACGGTCATTTTCTTTAACCGTTTTCCCGCCAGTAGATAATTTTAGTTCGCGCGTATTCATATGAGTTAGAAATAAGAGATATCATTTAAAGGAAGGTTTCAGATTGTTTAATTAGAGTATTTACATTTTTTTGTTATTCTTTTGTATTATTTACGAAACAAATATTATCTTAAAGTTGCAGTTCTCAACTTCTCTTAAATGAATGTACTAGTCACGTGATGTGAACTGGAATTTTTCAGAATCTGTGAAACTCACAGCCTTCCTACAGTAGTTTGGACATTAGATTTCTGTAATGTAAAAATGTTCTTCCAATTGTTGTCATCACTTAAATAATTGACAGTATTTATATACCATCATTTAATGCAATGTTGTATATTCCATACGGCAAGAACTAGGACGGATGTCATCTTCGCGGTGTATAGTAGTTTGGACAATATTTATTTGAAGACTTGCTTTGCAT